CATGCCCAGCTAATTTTTTGCACTTTTAGTAGAGACGGGGTTTCACCATGTTGACCAGGATGGTCTCGATCTCTCGACCTCGTGATCCACCCGCCTCGGCCTCCCAAAGTGCTGGGATTACAGGCTTGAGCCACCGCGCCCGGCTTAGAATTTTATGTTTTTCTAAGTATTTGGTCATTTCATCTACAATACAAATTTATTATTTTTAAAACTTTTTATTAATTCAAAAATATCCATTGTCTCTGTAATTATTTATCATTTTTAATTTTGGGGCTTTGTTATTGGCACCTTCTCCTTGTTTCCCTCTGTCTCCTCAAGCTTTTCTAATACTTGATCTTAGTTTTATTCAGCATGAACTTTGATAAATCTATTTAGTGCTGTATATTTCCCTCAAAGTGCTATTTTAGGTTGAAATGTTGACACTCAATATTTGAATTCTCGTTTAATTTTAAAGATTTCTTAATTTTTATGATTTACTCTTGAACCTGAAGATTATTTAATTATATAGGTAGCTTCCAAACATACGAGATTTGAAAAGCTGTTTCTTCTCTATTAATGTTTAATGTTAATGCATTATAATCTATATAACATTTATACTTTAGAATTAGAGTTTTTTATATTTTTTAAGAGTTTTTTATATCTTAATGAAATGTTAACTTTCGTAAAAGTATATGTGTGCTTGAAAAAACAGTTATTCTCTGGTGAAGAGTCTAATACATAATAATATATATAATATATAATATTAATTGCATTGTAATTAATAATTAACAAATTACATTTCTGAACTCTGTTAAAATTTCTAACTATAATATCTACCTGTCATTGATTTAGTTATTTATATGTATCTCACAGAAGTTTTTTTTATTATTTATTACTTAATATTCCAGGATATATAGTAATGTAGATTTATCATATTTATACCAGTTGCCATAATGTTCTTTTAAATTATATAAATATTATTCTCTATCCTTAAGTGTGTATGCATATGTGTGTGTGATTCAAAAATTTCAGCATGCATCAAGAAACTAACCATTTTTCTTCATTGCCAAAATAGTCAGATCACACTTAAAAAAATAATTAGCTGGGCATAACGGCTCATGTCTATAATTCCAGCACTTTAGGAGGCTCAGATAGAAAGATCACTTGACTTGAGGCCAGGAGTTCGAGACTAGTTTGGGCAACAGTGTGAGGCTCTGTCTCTATGGAAAAATTTTTTTAATTAGACAGGTGAGGCACACACCTGTAGTCCCAGCTATTTAGGAGGCTGAGGTAGAGGATTACTTGAGCCCAGGGATTAGGATACAGGGAGTCATGATCTTACTCTAACCTAGGGGACAGAGTGAGACTGGACTCTAAAAAATTAGATCAATAATAATGCCTTAATATTACTCATACCCAATCATTCATTCATATTACAGTCAAAATGTTCTCTAGTGCCTTAAAAATACTTACAGCTGGTTATGTAAATCAAGATTCGACTAGTCCTCTATGTTGTATCCAGTTGTTATGTCCTTAAATCTCTCTTATCCCTTGAATGAGCCTTTATCAATGAGACCAGACCAATTCTTCTGTGGAATTATCCACATTGTGAATTTTTCTGAAAGCTTCCTCATGGTGTCATTTAGATTGTTCCTCCATCTTCTGTATAATGATTATCCATTTTGGCTAGTGGGCATCTTTTCAATCTGCAGACTTTTAATATTATCCCATTACTTAGTGAAAGTTTCATTTCACACTGGTACAAGATACCCAAGCCTTTCTTCCATGTCCAGACCACAGATCAGCCATGTCTCAAGGAGACTAGCTCCCTGGAATGATGTATGGTATTAGAGACACTGTGACCACTCTTTCCTTAAATCCCACTCCAGGAGGTGCAGTGCAGGATCAGACTGAGTCTCACAGCGTGCAGCCACGGAAAATATTAATAGCAGTGTCATTCTTCTACGTGTGGCTATACAGTTTTCCAGCACGATGATTTATTAAATAGGGTATTCTTTTCTCCAATTTATGTTTTTGTATGCTTTGTCGAAGATCAGTTCGTTGTAAGTATTTGGCTTTATTTCTGGAGTCTCTACTTTGTTCCATTGGTCTATGTATCTGCCTTTCTCATGGTACCATGCTGTTTTGGTTACTATCGCCTTGTAATATAATATAAAGTCAGGTAATGTGGTGCCTTCAGATTTGTTCTTTTTGCTCAGGACTGCTTTGGCTTTCTCTTCTCCCTCAAGAATGTCAATGATTCTCATGTTTGGACATTATACATACCTTATATTTCTTGGGTAACCTTCCCATTTCCTATCTTTAAAAAAAAAAAAGAAAGAAAGAAAGAAAAAGGTTAGTTTTTTTTTTTTTTCTTTTTTTTTAAGACGGGGTTTCACCATGTTGATCAGGCTGCTCTTGAACACCTGACCTCAAGTGATCCACCCACCTTGGCCTCCAAAGTGTTTGGATTACAGGCGTGAGCCACCATGCCCGGCCATGATTTTTTTTTTTTTTTTTTTTTTTTAGTTTTTTCTTTATTTTTGTCCAATTGAGTTAACTCGAAAGCCTTGTCTTTGAGCTCTGAAATTCTTTCTTCTACTTGGTCCAGCCTACTTTCAAAACTTTCCCCTGCATTTGGTAAGTCTCTAAATGTGTCTTTCATTTCTAGAAGTTCTAATTGATTTTTCTTTAAAATGTCTATCTCTTTAGAACATTTTCATGTATATCCTGAATTAACTTTTAAATTTATGTTGGTTTTTACTACTGTCTTTTATTTCCTTGAGTAACTTATTAATTAGCCTATTGAATTCCTTATCTGTTATTTTATTTTTTAAAGCTATTCCATGGCATTTATCTGATATTTTAAAGATTTCATCTTGGTTTGGATCTATTGCTGGAGAGCTAATCAGTGTTATAGAACCCTGCTTTGTTATATTGCCAGAATTATTTTTCTGATTTCCTCTCATCTGGTTAGACTAATTCTTCTAATTATTTTTTAATTATTTTTTATTCAACTGTGATTTCTCTTAGTTCTTTCTTTCCTTTGAGGATATGACTTTAATGTTTATAGTTTATTATAATCTATGACCTTGGGGGTTTTCATGAGTGCAGACTCTGCATGAGTTCCTTGGTTATATGGAGTGTTGGTATGGTGGCTTTCTCAGATGCTAGTTGCAGTAGTAGCAATGTGCTCAGCAAGAGTGCAGGTTCACTGTCTCTGTCGGTGTTGGAATGGCAGAGGTCTCTGGATGCTTATCCCATCCCCCAGTAGTATGCAATTTATTTATATGCCCCAGTGTTTTGTTTACAGTTGAACAGTTCAGGCTTTAGGCCATTCATGAGGGAGGTATCGTGAATAAAAACCAGCTGTGGTTAAAGCGGTTTGGTCGATGCAGTTCCCAGTGGTGGGCAGAGATCTCAGACTTGACAGAGGTGGCTGAGGGAGTGCTCAGTGATTAACACACTGAGGTCTTTTCAAGGGTAAGGGAGGAAACCTCCTCAGCTCCCCTGCCGGGACAGCAGGAAAGCTAGCCACATCCCAGATACACTCCTGACCCAGGGATCTGACTATTCAGATCCGACAGGCACTTCTTTCCATTTGCAGGAATGCTGATATTCCCTGTAGAGAGGGATTGCGGCTCTACCCCTCATGCAAGCCTGAACCTGGAGGGTACTGCTCTTACAGGATGCAGTCACTCTGAAGTATTCCAGAGGGAGTGTCTACACGTATAGCCATGCCAAGCTCTCAGGGAAGAAGCCCTTCATGGCCCCAGAACTGCCTGACTGTTGAAGTAGGTCTGCAGACTTTTCCCCTACTGAACCCAGCACAGCACCTGTGCCTCTGTGAAAGAAACTTTTCATACGCAGAAAGTTCTGGGATGCAAGGTCTGCCATCTGAATATTTTATCTGATGGGGTGCTCTGTTGATATGGTGCACTCCCCTTTCCCCTAGGATTAGGTGTCCCTGAGGGCCAGCCTACTATGAAGGTAGTAGCTCCTCTGGGTCTAGCCACCCAGTGGGGTGGCCACAATCCATGCTGGTGCTGGAGAATGTCTGCAAGGGACCAATGATGTAACAGATCCTCGAGACTCCCAGCAGTGGGTACCAGCACCAGCTCTGGTGGGGGAAGAAGGGGAGCGATGTGGATTCTGTGAGATTGCTCGGTTATAAATAGCCTTAGTGTGTTGGCTTTCTCAAATGCCAGGTGTGGTAGTAACAAACTGGTCATGTGGACACACTCGGAACTTCCTGATTAACCAGGTTGATGCAGGCAATGGTGATAGCTGAGGTCACGCCCAATTTTTGTCCTTCCTGCTTCCTGTTAATTGTGCTTGCAAGCAGATGCTATAATAGATTCCATCAACTTGCCCACAGCCAGGAGGTGGCGCTTGCAAAAGAGCAGCAGCTGTGGTGGTAGCAGTGGAATTTGCGCCTGTCTTAGGTTACCCAGGAGAGGTGCTCTGGTGTCTCAGGCAGTGGGTGGGGCCATAGGGATCCCCAAAGTTTCTGTCCTATGTGTTAATATACCAGGTGAGAGTGCTCAGTCAGGCAAGTGGGTGCCCTGGCTCTCCACATCGGGACAAAAGCAGTAGCCCCACTGGGGATCAGAGACTGGCTGCAGAGATAATGGTCCAGGGAGGATCACAGCTGCCTCCACTTCACATGGGGAATGGGGAGTAGCAGGTGGCAGTAAGCCCCACCCAGCTCCTACACTTTTGGCAAGACAGGTCTTGCACCCACAGCATTCCACCAGCAGCGGTTAGCTAAGTTCCAGGCAGTCTGTGCTCAGAACTCAAACGTGCCCCAGGCCATAAGCCTCCGCTGAGGTGCCAGGATCTGCAGCTTTCAGGCCACACCTCTCCGGGTTTGCGCACTAAGCACGGATACAAAACTCCTGTGCAGAGCCAGTATCCGCAGCTGTCAGGCCGCACCTAACCCACCGAGGTTAGGCCCCTTCCCTGAGGCCTCCCAGTCCCCAAGAGCCCCCTGAAGGCTGTCAGCGAGGCCCACGCAGAGGTGACCGAAGCGTTTTATTCCGGAGAAGCTGCACAGGCAGGTGGATGGGTCAGAGAGTCATTGCAAGCCCGCATTCAGGGGCTCCACACGCAGCCAAAGACCCCCCTCCGCGCGCATGATCAGCTCCGGCTTCCTGCGGGGCTCCCTGTGATCAGGCCGGAAGCGGAAGTGCAGCAGCGTCAGCGCCAGAACCGCCTTCATCTCCGCCATGGCGAACGCCTGCCCGATGCAGTTCCTGCGGGCGGGAGTTGGGACTGTGACTTCACCCACGACCCGCATTTGGGCCCCATCACGCCAGGAACCTGGTCCGGGACCCCCAACCGCACCCAGATCGGCCGGAGAGATAGAAAGGGGCTGAGCGTGCCTGGGACCCCCGTGTGGGCTGCACGTTCCCGGAGCCTGGGCCAGACTCCAGCCCCCAGCTCAGAGCAGCAGATGGAGGAGGGGATTCTGAGCACTCCGCGGAACCCCTAGGATCTACTATGGACGTTTTGCCATAAACTGTGAAGGAATGGAGGGAAGGAGACCTGGAACTGGGACCACCTGCAACATTCTCCTTTTTGACCCCCGCACCCATCACCCCATCCACATACCAGACACAGGCGGCCCTTACCTGGACCCTGCGGAGAAGGGAATAAAAGCCAGAGGTGACCTCTCCTTGCTGTTCTCTGGATCGAAGCGGAAGGGGTCGTAGACCTGCAGGTGAGACCAAAAAGGTTTGCTGGGTGGGGTCTCCCAGGATCGGCGGCCTTGGAGAGACAGTTGTGTGTGTGTTGGGGCAAGGTGATTTTCCTGATCAAACCCTGACCCCTCCCCTAAGAACCTTGGAATTGAGGAAAAAAGAGAGCAGGGAGTCGGGGGAGGATGGGGAAGGCAGCACCTCAGGATCCGGCCACACACTTGGGTTGTGATGGATTCCTATAATATTGATGACGCAGATAATGTCTGTGGGAGAGAAGGGGGCAGTCAGGATGAGGGCTGTCTGAGGGGCCCGTCCTCCTATGCGGGGACTCGTCCCCCTGAGGCTGTGGGCACCTTTGGGGATGACTCGGCCATCTGGGAGAACAATGTCCTGGGCGCAGCGTCGGGAGATGAACGGAGCTGGGGGATGCAAACGCAGGCTCTCCTTCAGGCACATGGTCAGGAAGGACAGCTGGGCCAGGTCGTCCCTAAAGAAACACCCCAGCCCCAATCGTTATGAAGGGAGCAAAGACACAACTCTCCAGCTTCTCTGTTTGCAAGTGAGCCCTTTTCTATCACAAAATAAACTCCGTGGGGATAAAACATTTGAGAATTTTAAAAAGCAGAAAACAATTAGAGAAGCAGAGAATTAGAAAAGTACCAGAGAAAATTTAGCCACGTAGTTAAAAAATATATACTCTGAGGAAAACACCCAGAAGCCCGCGGTAAAAAATTAACAAATTTGCATAAAAATAAATACTGTCTATGGCAAGAAAACAAACTCAAATGCAAATGAAGAGGAAACAGAATACCAAGGTGCAATGTTTTGCTCTTATTTAGCATGATACTAGAGGTACCAGCAAGTACAGTTAGGCAAGGAAGAAAAAAAAAGTCATGCAATTTGAAATGTGGGAGTAAATGTATCATTTTGGCAGACAGTGATTTTATGCTTAGAAAACACTCGAGACCCCACTGGAAAACGTTGATAAACATTTAAGATCCAGTAAGTCGTTGCTTAATGTTTCTTCTTTTGCAGTAGCTATTTAAAATTTTAATACCGTCTATACTTACCTGGTTCAAAATTTGAAAACCGTAAAACATAATCCAGTCCTATGGCTGAATGCCTGCTGCCTCTCCCCACATGTTGCCCAGGTTATTATTAATGTATCCTTCCTGGCCTAATTTTTAGCATTTAAAAAAATTATATAGGAGCACACCATCTATTACACACACTATTCTGTATCTTTTTTTTTTTTTTTTTTTTTTTAAGACAGAGTCTTGCTCTATTCCCCAGGCTAGAGTGCAGTGGCGCAATCTCTGCTCACTGCAATCTCTGCCTCCCAGTTCAAATGATTCTCCTACCTCAGCCTCCCAAGTAGCTGGGACTACAGGCATGCACCACCACACCCAGCTAATATTTATATTTTTAGTAGAGACAGGGTTTCACCATGTTGGTCAGGCTGGTCTTGAACTCCTGATCTCAAGTAATCTGCCTGCCTTGGCCTCCCAAAGTACTGGGATTACAAGCATGAGCCCCCGAACCCGGCCTCTATCTTTTCTCATTTAACAGTTTATCACTTTTTCATAGCCCCTGGGACTTATATCAAAATAAGTTTATGCCAACTCTGGAACTATGAAATAATTTTCTCCTGGTTTCTGCAACAGCTTTTAGGACTCTTTTAGGGAAAAAAAAAGATTTATCTGAACATTATCTTGTCATAAGACATGAAAACCAGGTTCAGTTGTCTTTTTTCCAGAAGGCTTTCCAGTTGTCCCAAGAGCTTTTACTTAATTATCTGTATTTTTTCCCTTGATACACAACACTGTCTTTAGCATGTACTTTGTTCATTGGGCACAGAATTCATATGCATAAATCATTAGTTTTACCATGTAGAAATAACCAACAACTGAAAAGATATAAAAGATGCTATTCATAATAATATAAAATACCTGGATTAAACCTAAAAAGATAAATGAAATCTCTGTATTTCGTTATAATTTTCCCTAAATCCAAATAAAAGATACACTTTACCATAGCAGCAATTGTTTGTAAGGGTTGATTTAACAACAACAAAAAAAGTCATTCCACCAGATACTAAAACCTGTTGGAGGCTGGGCGCGGTGGCTCACGCCTGTTATCCTAGCACTTTGGGAGGCCGAGGTGGATGGATCACCTGAGGTCAGGAGTTCAAGACCAGCCTGGCCATCATGGGGAAACCCATCTTTAAAAAATATATAAATAAATAAATAAAACCTGTTGGAAAGTCACAGTATTAGAAGGCCAAGGTGGGTGGATCACTTGATGTCAGGAGTTCCAGACCATCCTGATCAACATGGTGAAACCTGGTCTCTACTAAAAATACAAAAATTAGCTGGGCGTGGTGGCAGGTGCCTGTAATCCCAGCTACTCAGGAGACTGTGGCAGGAGAATCGCTTGAACCTGGGAGGCGGAGGTTTCAGTAGGCCGAGATGGCACCACCACACTCCAGCCTGGGTAATATAGCTAGACTCCATCTCAAATAAGGAATAAAGAAAAAAAGTAAGTCACAGTAATCATAAAAAAAAAAAAAAAAAAAAAACCCATTCAAAAGACTAAAAAAGTCAGAGACAGACATGTGAGTAAGTGAAAACTTAACCATGTGCTGAAGGAAGCCTCACAAAACTTGGAAATAGATGGGTAGTGTGACTGCAAAAGAAAATGTGGACAAATTTAACTTCATAAAAATTAACCAAAGGTACTTCCCAAAAAGTCAAAAGGCAACCTTTTGCAACAAAAGACAGAAAAAATTAATTGTAAAACACATTCTTATAAGTAAATATGAAAAAAGAACCCAAAGAAAAACCAAAAATATAAGATGACCACTCCCATAGAAAGAAAATAAATGGCTTATCAACTTGGGAAAAGGATTTTCTATCTCACTTTTATTTAGGAAAATGCTCATTAAGCCCAGGCGTGGTGGCTCACGCCTGTAATTCCAGCACTTTGAGAGGCCAAGTTGGGTACATCACGAGGTCAGGAGTTCAAGACCAGTGTGACCAACATGGTGAAACCCCATCTACTAAAAATACAAAAAAATAGCCAAGCATGGTGGCACACATCTGTAATCCCAGCTACTCAGAGGCTGAGGCAGGAGAATTGCTTGAACCCACGAGGTGGAGGTTGCAGTGAGCTGAGATCGAGCCACTGCACTCCAGCCTGGGTGACAGAGTTAGACTCCATCTCAAAAAAAAAAAGCTCATTAAAAGATGAAATGCGAAGATTGACAAAAATTTAAAATTTAATGATATAATAATACTATTGGCAAATTTGTGGGAAAGCTTGTGCCATCAAACTCAGCTAATATAGGAATGGATTTGCAATGATTATTACAATTGTAGAATGCAAATTGTCTTTGATTCAGCAATTGCGCTTTTGGGAATGTGTCCTGCAGATATGAGCTTACATATATGAGCAATGGTCACATGTGCCGATTGCACAGGTTTAATTTAGCAAAAGGATGAAACAAGCCAAATATACATGGATGGGGAGATGTTTAGATCAACATTCACACAATGGAATACTATACAGCTACATAAAAGGAGAAAATAAGGATCATTAGTCCTGCTACACAATACGGGCTGGAATCAGTACAGAAACTCTGGAAGGTAAATTGGCCATATCTACAATGACTGGAATTATTTACACAAGTGACTTCAGAAAAGGTATGGTCCAAATAAAACATGGAATGCCATTCAGCACTCAGAAAAAATAGCTGTTAGACACGCAGTTGAGTGGAAAAAACATGTTCTAAAATGTCCATATGTGTCAATACCATAGGGCACAAAATATATGGAATATATAAAGAGATAGATGATAGAAAGATATGTAGATAGATGGATAAACAGACAGACAGATAGATGACAAGTCAGCATCTCCACAGGCCCCCTTCGAGAAAGGGAGGGGATTAGGTGGGGTGGCAGGAATGTCAAGGATAACCCGTGTCTTCTCTGTAATGACTCATTGAGTGCAAGAACCCATTCTCATCATTGTGTAATTCAAAACTCATTTTCCATGTGGCATATATACAAAACGAATGCTATTCAGCCTTAAAACGGAATAAAATTCTTTCATTTGTGACAAGGAAGAACCTGAAGGACATTATGCTAAGTGAAATGAGCCAGGCACAAGAAGGCAAATAGTACGCAACCTTAATTGCCTGTGAGATCTGAAATAGTTAACACAGAAATCATAGAAACAGAGACCAGAATAGTAATTACCAGAGGAGGGAAGAAGAAAGAACAGAAAGATGTTGGTCAAAGGGTACAAGTTTCTGTTAGACAGGAGGAATAAGTTTTGAGATCTATTGCATGCATGGTGACTATAGTTAATAATATAATTCAAAATTGCTAAGAGTAAATTTCAGGTGTTCTCACCATAAATATGGTGAGTATGTGAGATGATGTGTATGTTTACTGGAATTAATCATTCCACATTGTATACATGTAACATCACATTGTACCCCATAAATATATATAATTAACATTTGTGAATTAAAAGTAAAAATAAACTTATTTTCCAAAACTCATAATTTGAGAAAAAGGAAAGATCTTGGCTGGGTGTGGTGGCTCATGCTTGTAATCCCAGCACTTTGGGAGGCTGAGGCAGGTGGATCATGAGGTCAGGAGTTCGCGACCAGCCTGGCCAACACAGTGGAACCCCGTCTCTACTAAAAATATAAAAATTAGCTGGGCGTGGTGACAGGTCCCTGTAATCCCACCTACTTGGGAGGCTGAAGCAGAAGAATCACTTGAACAAGGCAGAGGTTGCAGTGAGCTGGATCGTGCCACTGCACTCCAGCCTAGGCAACAGAGCTAGACTCCCATCTCAAAAAGAAAAAGAAAAAAGAAAGATCTCGAAAGATATATTGTTAATGTGCAGATCTGTATCACTTTATTTCTTTTTATTTCAATAGCATTTGGGGTACAAGTGGTTTGGTTACATGGATGAATTCTATAGTGGTGAATTCTGAGATTTTAGTGCACCCATCACCTGAGCAGTGTATCCTATTCCCAATATGTAGTCTTTTCTCTCTTACCCACCTCCCAGCCTCGCTCCCTGAGCCTCGAAAGCTCATTATATCACTCAAAAACATATGGTATTTGGTTTTCCATTCCTTAGTTAGTTCACTGAGAATAATGCCCTCCAGCCCCATCCAAGTTGCTGCAAAAGACATTATTTCATTCCTTTTTATGGCTGAGTAGTTCCATGGTGTATTTATGCCACATTTTCTTTATGCACTCATTGGTTGATGGGCACTTAGGTTGGTTCCATATCTTTACAAATGTGAATTGTGCTACAACAAGCATGCGTGTGCATGTGTCTTTTTCATATAATGACTTCTTTTTCTTTGGGTGGATACCTAGTAGTGAGATTGCTGGATGGAATGGTAGATCTACTTTTTGCTCTCTAAGGAAACTCCTTACTGCTTTCCACAGAGGTTGTGTAATTTACATTCCCACTGGCAGTGTATGAGCATTCACATTTTACCACATCCACACCAGCATCTATTGTTTTTTAACTTTTTAATTATGGCCATTCTTCTAGAAATAAGGTGGTGTCTCATTGTGGTTTTAATTTGCATTTCCCTGATGATTAGTGATGTTCAGCATTTTTTTCATATGTTTTCTGGCTGTTCACGTATCTTCTTTTTAGAATTGTCTATTGGTGTCCTCTAGCCACTTTTTAATTGAATTAACTGTTTTTTTCTTGCTGATTTGTTTGAATTCCTTGTAGATTCTGGATACTAGCCATTTGTCAGATGCATAGTTCACAGATATTTTCCCCCACTCTGTAGGTTGTCTGTTTACTCTGCTATTATATACATATATATATATACACACACATATATGTGTATATATGTATATGCATATATATATATATAGGCTGAGCAGAAACTTTTTAGTTTCATTAAGTCCCACTGATTTATTTTTGGTTTTTTGTTTTTGTTTTTTTTTTTTTTTGGAGACGGAGTTTCGCTCTTGTTACCCAGGCTGGAGTGCAATGGCGCGATCTCGGCTCACCGCAACCTCCGCCTCCTGGGTTCAGGCAATTCTCCTGCCTCAGCCTCCTGAATAGCTGGGATTACAGGCAAGCGCCACCATGCCCAGCTAATTTTTGGTATTTTTAGTAGAGACGGGGTTTCACCCTGTTGACCAGGTTGGTCTCGATCTCTCGACCTCGTGATCCACCCGCCTCGGCCTCCCAAAGTGCTGGGATTACAGGCTTGAACCACCGCGCCCGGCCTTACTTTTGTTTTTGTTGTGTTTGCTTTTTGTGGTCTTAGTCATTAATTCTTTGCCTAGGCCAATGTCCAGAGGAGTTTTTCAAGGTTATCTTATAGAATATTTATGGTTTCATGTCTTAGAGTTAAGTCTTTGATTTTTGTACAAGGTGAGAGATGGGGATCCAGTTTTATTTTTCTTCATGTGGCTATCCAGTTTTCCCAGCACCATTTGTTGAATAGGTGTCCTCTTCTCAGTTTATGTTTTTGTATGCTCTGTCAAAGATCAGTTGGCTGTAAGTATTTGTGTTTATTTCTGGGTCCTCTATTCTGTCCCATTGGTCTAAGTGCCTGCTTTTATGCCAGTACCATGCTGTTTTGGTAACTGTAGCCTTGTAATATAATTTGAAGTCAGGTAATGTGATGCCTACAGATTTTTTCTTTTTGCTTGATATTGCTTTGGCTACACAGGCTCTTTTTTGGTTCCATATGAATTTTAGAATTGCTTTTCCTAGTTCTGTGAAAAATAAAGCATTTTAATAGGCACTGCATTAAATCTGTAGATTGCTTTGTACAGCATGATCATTTTCACATTATTGATTCCTTCAATCCATGAACATGGAATGTGTTTCCATTGGTTTGTGTCATCTGTGGTTTCATCCAGCACTGTTTTGTAGTTCTCCTTGTAGAGACTTTTAACCTCCTTGGTTAAGTATATTCTTAGGTTTTTTTTTTTTTTTCTTTTGACAACTGTTTTTGTTTTGTTTTGTTTTTTGTTTTTTGCCCTTGTGAGAGTCAGAGGATGGTTCTCAGGTCATTGGGGTAATGTTTCAGAGGTTAATATAACTGTCTCTGCCTCACAGAAGAGTTTGCAAAGGGAGTGGAAAGTAGCAGGTGGCAGTAAGCCTCATCCACCTCCCATGCAGTTGGCACAAGGCAGGTCTCACACCTGCAGTGTTCCACTCATAGCACTGGATTTAGATTCAGGCAGTCTGTGCACAGAACTCAGACCTGCCCCAGGCCATAAGCGTTCCCGCAGAAATAGCAATGCTTTCAGGCCATGCCTTTTTGTCCCTGTCCAAGGCCAGGCACCCAGCTCCTGCACTCCCATCTGCAGCACACTTCCTGCTTGCCCCCTGGGTTCTGGTCAAGGGAGTTCATCCCCACTTGAGTTATATCAAGAAATACAGTTGGGCACTTCATTCAACCTGTGATCCCTGCCTGAGCTAGTTGTCTGATGTCCCCAAAGACCCCTGTGAGATGCAATAAGGAATGGCTTCTCTCAGTCCATGCTGGAGATTGGGAATGACTGCAAGGCATTTCCTGCTGCTGCTTCTACTTTGGTATTTCTCACCATTCCCTAAATCAGTTCAAGCCCTGGGTAGAGTTAAGGCCTTCCCCTGTGGCCTGGATATTCAGATTCCTCAGCAAAGATGTGTACCCATGCTGGAGGCAGTCTCTCCCCCTCTCACACTCTGGAGATTTACAGTTTTTCACCTGTCTCACACAGTAGGCTGCAGCCTGGGGCTTCTTTCAAAGGATCTGTAGATTCTTTTGGTTTTCCTGTTGAGTCCCTGTGTTTTTTCTTGGGAAAAGAAAGTCCACAGTGTGAATCTCTTTTTTTTTTTTTTTTGAGACGGAGTTTCGCTCTTGTTACCCAGGCTGGAGTGCAATGGCGCGATCTCGGCTCACCGCAACCTCCGCCTCCTGGGTTCAGGCAATTCTCCTGCCTCAGCTTCCTGAGTAGCTGGGTTTACAGGCACGCGCCACCATGCCCAGCTGATTTTTTTTAATTTTTAGTAGAGACGGGGTTTCACCATGTTGACCAGGATGGTCTCGATCTCTTGACCTCGTGATCCACCCGCCTCGGCCTCCCAAAGTGCTGGGATTACAGGCTTGAGCCACCGCGCCCGGCCACAGTGTGAATCTCTACACACTATTCTGTCCTGTGTGAGAGGCACACTGACACTGCCTCCAATCCACCATCTTGGGAAAAAATACTGTGTCTATGTTATACACTCTTATTTGTATAGAAAAAGTCTGTGTTCATATAAAGTAGACATCAGGATGGCCATTTTCTGGAGGGACACACAGTAAACCATTGATAGTAGAAATCACTAGGATGAGACTTAAGGAAGCTCATTTTTATACATTTTTTGGACAGTTTCTTTAAAAAGTACATAATGTTGCTTGATGTTTTGGTTTTTAAAAGCATAAAAATGTGTTGCTACCTTTTAGGACTGCTGTTCTGAGCAAAGGCTTGGACGGGGGGACACTGCCTCCAAAACACCTGCCCAGTCCTTTGCCTCCTCTCCCCAGCCTCTGGCCTGGCTCAGGTCTCAGAATGTCTTCACTGGGACTTCATTCTACAGCTGGTTCTCCCTCCACAGTACCCCTAAAAAGATCTTTCTGACGCCCAGATCTGACCTATACCTCCCCTGCTCAGCCACTTGTTATGGCTCCCCGTTGCCTTTGGGTTGAAATGGAAGCCATTACCGTTTTCCCATGTCTTCTACAGCCAGACCCTTCTTTCACCTCCATTATTATTGTACCATCATAACTCAGTTTCTTCCTCTCTCGTTATCTCTCTCCTCCTCTCTTCATCTTGCTCTCGCTCACTTTCCCTCCCTCTTACTTCTTTCTCCCTTTATAACCATCTCCTTCGCCCCATGCCCAAACTCCTTCTCTCTTTCCCTCCTCTCTCTCTCCCACCCCTCCTTTCTGTATCTTTGCCCAGGCTGTCTCTTTGGCCTAGAGCACTACTGCATTCAAACATCCACTGATCACCACTCAGTTTCAGTTGAGGTGCTTTATTATTTCGGTTTTTTACTTTTTTAAAGATGGGTTCTTTCAATATTGTCCAGGTATATCTTTTTTTTTTTTTTCCCCCCTAATGGAGTCTCACTCTTACTGAGTTGCCAGGCTGTATTGCAATGGCACAATCTCCACTGACTGCAGCCTCCACCTCCCAGGTTCAAGCAGTTCTCCTGCCTCAGCCTCCGGAGTAGCTGGAACTACAGGTGCACACCACGACACCCAGGTAATTTTTGTATTTTTAGTAGAGACAGAATTTTACCATGTTGGCCAGGATGGTCTTGATCTCTTGATCTCATGATCTGCCCACCTTAGCCTTTCAAAGTGCTAGGATTACAGGTGTGAGCCACCACACCTGGCCCCTAGGTTCATCTTAAACCTGAACTCAAGTGACTCTCCCACTTCAGCCTCCTTAGTACTTGGTATCACCGGCACCAGCCACCACACTTGCCTTGAAACATTTTCCATACTGCCAGCCATGTTTCTCTTGCTCTCAACTCTGTCCTTGCCCATGTGAACTGGGAATGTCCTGCCCTGGGACTGTTCCCACTAGGCTGGGAGTACCTGGAAAACACATCCCTGGGCAGGGTTCTTTCCAGGTCTCCAGAGCACAGAAAGGTGATGGGAACCGAAGTGGCATTGGAAAGGCATGTGGAAGAGTTTGCTGAATGAAGACTGGGTGGATGAATGATGCAGGTGTCCTAGACAAAAGATAGATGACTTTTACCCCCAGGTCTCTCTTATGAATCCTTGGACTGGACTGGAGGGCAGGAAACAGGGAATAGAAGAGCAAACATTGAGGAAGTAAAGATCTTGAAAAACATGATAATTCAGACAAAAGAAAGGAGTGAAAGGAAAATTCATTGACTGAATGTGTCTAGGTGTCACCATCTGCTTTCATATATTGTCACTAAATCTCTCAACAGGCTAGGTCTTTCTGTCCCAAAAGCTTGAAAACATTCCCCTGCTAGCCAGGCTGGATACCAGGTTCTGCCTCTGGGCTCTGCTCCTAGTGCTAGTAAGCAATAATGGAAGAATTGACAAAAACAACTTCCCCCCTCCTCACCTGAGCAAACAGCCAAGAAGTGAGGACGTTTGAAAAAAAATATTTCTGGGAGAAAAGAGAGTGGAGGGGAAGTTCATTTGCTGAACATACGCTAAGTGGCATTATCTGTCCTCACATATTGTCACCAATTGTCTTGAGCATTCCTGCTCTTTCAGTCCTAAAGTCCTGCAGCCTTTCCCCTGACAGCTGGGCTGTGTATCAAGCCCTGCCTGTGGTCCTCTGTTCCTATACCCACTAAGCAATAGTGGCAGAATCAACAAAAACAATTCCTCCTCCCATCCCCACCTGGGGAGCAGAGCCAATGAGGAGCTCAGGAACAGCCACCAGCACCTGCACTCACCACTTAATCTCTTTAGGCTCACGGTCCTTCAGAAGCTCCTGCACCTCCTGCCGGCAGCGCTCCTGGTATTCTGGGTGCCTCGCGAGGTTGTACAGGACCCAGGAGAGGCCACTGGCCGTGGTGTCATGGCCTGAGGGGAAGCAAGGCAGGCTTGGGTCTCCAGGCTGCTTCAGCACCAGAGGGTGGACAGCGCCCACATATTGAAACCCTCAGGAGGATGGAGGGGGGAAGATGGGCAGAATGGTGTGATCCACGGTCCACCCACCAGGTTCCTGAGACAGAGGAACCTCTGTCTCCACTGTAGTCCCACACTGGGATCCTCACCTGCAAACATGAAGGTGTCAGCCTCTGCTCTTATATCCTCATCTGACAATGGCTTCCCATCTTCATCCTGAAGAGAAAGTAAGATAGACAGACAGACAGACAGACACACACACACACACACACACACACACACACACACACACACACTACTATCTCTGAGACCCCCGAGTCTAATCTAAGACAATCTCTGACAATCCGATCTTCTTCCGGAAACTCAAACCCACTCTTTACTTCTAGATCTCTCCTGGTCACCGTCACTAGAGCTCCCACTCCAAGGGCTTCCCCCCAGCTCCTTTGCCTCCTCTTTGGTCCCTGGCAGCAGGAATTGATCGCTCTTGAACACTTTCACATTTCTGCATAATGCAGACTTTCAGAAAGAAAGATACTGGCAACCTAGGGTAAGGATGTTTAAATGGCAATTTGCCTTGGAGTTTAGAAATTATGTATTGCTTGAAAGATACTTGCTCACATTCTAGAGTGGCAAACTCAGAGAATCTTATCTTTCCAGAAGATGTTTGGGTTACAAAACTATAGAAATTGCCATCTCACTGGAGAGGAGTAGTTTATACTCCAGAACAAAGCGTTCTCTCTCTATCTCTCGCTCACTCTGTCTCTGTCTCTGTGTCTCTTTCTCTCTCTCTCTCTCTCTCTCTCTCTCTGTGTGTGTGTGTGTGTGTGTGTGTAACTTAGTAACTTGTAAGTTGAGTAAAATCTTAGGCTCTTCACAGTTTCAGAATTAGCAGTTCCCTGCAGGCTGCATTCAACAGGGTCATCTCTAAAAGCTATCTGTGACCTTCCCTTTCTCAAGCATCGTCATGGTTCCCAGTGCCCTTTGGATCAAGTCCAATTTATTTCATCTGACATTTGACATCAAGCTCCATTCTATCACTTTAATTCAGATCGTAGAGAAACCCACCTTGCTCAGCAGAAGCACATCAATGAAGTCTAGAGTCTTGGACTTGGCCTTGTCCTTGAGGAAGTCATCAATATCCTGAGTGGGGAGGGTGCGGCGCCGCTCCTGGATGACGGCGTCTGTGAAGTCGTGCACCAGGCGGCAGGCCCTGCGGAAGCGCCGCCCATCGTGGGTGAGATAATACAGGAAGTCCACGTGCTGGAGGAGGTGCTGGGTCCTTTTTTCTACAAGGCCACTGAGCTCCAAGATGGTGGCAATATATTCACTGGACCTCCTGCAGGCCGAGGATGGAAAGGGAGGCAACAGTTGAACATATGCAAAGCTTTTGCAACTCCCGCCTCCAGCAGCCAGAAGCTACCACCTATCAGGAAACTCAATATCTAGAAGCAGATCATCCTAGAGATACACATAGTGGGTATCAGTCATAAGATTGACTCTCTAGACTCTTCCCTCCCTGCACCCTTTTCTGAGAGCTGTCTTCATGCACCCAGGCACCCAGAGCATAGGCTGGGCACCACGTTTCTCTCCTCTGTCTCCCAGACAGTGTCCAGTACTGATCATTTTCCAACACTGTCCACACAACTCAGACTTCGTCCCCTTCCAATTCATCCCTGCTCTAGCCTCACCATAACCAACTCTCTCTCTGTCTCTCTCTCTGTCTTCCCCCCACCTTCCACCCTGTCATCCCAGCACTTTGGGAAGCCAAGGCAGGCAGATTACCTGAGGTCAGGAGTTCAAGACCAGCCTGACCAACATGGCGAACCCCCTCTCTACTAAACATACAGAAATTAGCCAGGTGTGGTGTTGGGCTGTCAGTGTCCCACACAGCTCAGCTCTTACTTTGTAGTTCCATCATCGGCTGAAACTACAAAAGCTCTCTGGAAATCTCTTGGTAAACTTCATACCACTGTTCCTGATTTTCAGTGTCCTAAATATCTAACTCTGTCTACTTCCACAACCTCATTTCTCCTGAGTGTTGCACATGCTTGGCTCATCCTAACCTTCTTGCTGTTACTGAAACATTTCTACCCACCTGGAAAGACAACACTTTATTGCTTTCTTGACCTTCAAAGCCCCGCTATGATACAAATCCTCTCGAAAGGAACTTCTGGTTACTTTGCTCATTCCTCCCTCCCCAGCTCACTCCCTTTGGTCCATGGACTCCCATCCCAGGCCCTGGGAAGGAACTCACTCCTGACAATGGCTGTCAAAGCTGAAGATGCATTTCTGCAGACTGTCCAAGGTCATGAGACTGATGTGCTCAAACATGTCCAGACGACTGCTGCCCTCTGAGGCCAGGCGCTGCCACTTGTCCTGGCCAGAGAAGGGAAGACAGCTAGAGCCAGACCCTGCATTCTTGGTGCCCCTCCCCAGCCCCAGACATCAGGATGGACTCCCGACAACCAGCCTCCTGGTCCTCTGCCCCAGGAACCCATTGCCAACAAGGACCAGACTTAGATGGGAGCAGAAGCTGTTGGTATTAGGAGATGAAGACCCATGGCTGGGAGTCAAGAGACCTGCATTCAAGTCTTAGCTCTGCCTCTTATGCTCTTTGTGCCCTTGGTCAACCTATTGCCCTCCTCTAGGTCCCACCTGTCAAATATTCATTAACAGTGATGACAGTCTGCTTTGGGGCCAGATAACCCAGGATAGAATCTCTGCTCCACCACTCCTAGCTCACTTATTAACTGGTTGACCTCTGTCCAGCTCCCTAATCTCTCTGACCCTCAGTTCATCATCTGCATTAGGGAAAAAATAATCATAACCTCACAGGGTTATTAAAATTAAAGTAGACAACATATATCCTGGCACTGGGACATGGCGTTTTTTCAGGCATATGGTGAGTGCCCAGTAAATGTTCGCTTTATTCATCTCCGTTGTGATAAGTTCACTTCAAAAATATCCCTGTGTTGGAAGAGGCACCCCTTCATCAGCCCTGAGCATGCTTGCTGGGTATCCCACCAGTGCAAGACCGTGATGTTCTCACTTGAGCTATGTCTCTGAGTTGTGTTTGCAGAGAACAACCTGGAGAGATAAGGCAGTGACTCCCCCTGGATTAATGTCAGGCTTGTTTCCGCTGCTATTAAGCAGATTCCCTAAGCCTCGTGCCCATTGTCTGCCATGTAGTGTAGTGCATGAGCAGGCTGCTATAGAGGCCCATCAGTGTCCCCCATGGAATTTAGATTGACTCAGAAGAAGGATACAAACCAACAAGAAGTACATGTTGCCTGTTGTGCCATGAATAATCAACTACCCTTTGTCTCTGACCCAGGAGTCTTGTGTCTTCTATTAGAATGCATGAAACAGTAACAATCTAACTTATCAGCTTGCAAATTTAAAAAACAACCTGGACACTTCACAAAATCCTGACCCCTCCAGTTCTTCACTTCTCCTTGTATTTACACCCTCTGCATAGTAATTTTTCAGCAACTCCCATTAAGAGATGGATTATGTTTTACACCCCTGTGAGTCTGTGCTGGACTTTTGACTTTCTTTGGCCAATACAATGTGGTGAAAATGATGATATAATAACTCTAATAGATCCAAGGCTGCTTGAACTTTGAAACAGTGCAGAGACACTGTCCACAGACATTGCAGCCTCCTCACAGTTTTTCAGAACCCAGTCTCTGCCATGTGAACAATAGGATGCCTTCTGGAGGCAGAAAATCACATGGGGAAAAGTCCAGGTGTCACAGCCGAGGCCATCCTAGATCAGCCTGAAGCTAGTGAAGCCCCAAACTTGCGAATGAACTGAGCCAGGATGAGCAAAGCTGCCGACCTGATCCACAGCAGCTCGTGTACCAAGAGTGATCCCTTCCACCTCCAGAAGAACCAGCCAGCTGTCTCACAGACTCGTTAGCAAGCGTAAACTCTTATTGCTCTAAGCCCGTGAGTTTTCAAGTGGTTTATAATCACCAGAGATGACTGTGCAACCTTCATCTTTACTCTCTTGCATTTACATGGCTTCCATGAGAAAAACACAGAAACTGACACCTTCTGACTATCTGCTATGTGCTAGGGACATGACTCTTGCATTATCCTACCACCTTTTAAGTAGAGATTATTCTTCCTGTTTTACAGATAAGGAAACCAAGGCTCAGAGAGGAACAGCAGTGGCCCAGTGCCACCCAGCAGAGCCAAAATTCAGAGCAGATCTGTCCGTGGTCCCTCCACCCCAAGACTCCAGTGGGACCCAGGGTTCAAGGGACTCACAAGCATGATGTTCACACTCTCGTTGAAGATCTTCACGTAGGGTTTCAGGATGTTGAAGTGGAAGGCGGGCGTCAGCATCCGACGGCGGTGGCTCCACTTGTCAGCAGCAGTCAGCAGTATCCCTTCTCCTAGCAGGGTAGCCAAGGACAGTGGGCAAGAGCAGTACCTTCCCCACCCCCAACAAGGTTGTCCCCAGCCCCTTTCACCTGCAGGCACTCACCCAGCCAGGGCTTCAGGAACCTGATGAAGAGCTCATCCTTGGGCACAATGGCAGCTGGCATGAATGAGGACCATCAGAGGCCATGTAGAGAGCAAGAGAGGAAGTTCAGGTGTAGGGGGAGGCCCCCATCAGCACTTTACCCACTCCATGCCCAGGATAGCAGGAAGGGGACCGAGGGCAGAGGAAGAAGGGAGGAGAGAGGAAGTAGGACCAGTCCAGGCCGCAGCAGCACAGTCGAGCAATGACATAAGCTAACAGGGCATAGCACACCCCAGCACACCCTGACATGTCTCCTACAGGGCCCAGCATGTGCAACACCCAAGCGCAGCTCCACACTCTACAAAATACCTTTAAATGGGCCTTTAAACACCTTTAAAGGGACCTGTCTGCCCCAGTACCCTCTGTCATCTCCTGACATGGACCTGGGACCTGGGCCATGTTCCCAACATAAGTTAACATGCCGTGACATGACCCAACAGTGATCCCTAAATGACACACTGTCCAACATGGACCTGAGGTAGTCTGACATGACCTGACAGACAGGCCCCAGGTGGGGTTTAAATATGATTTCTAAAATGTCCTGGACATGTCCCAGGTATAACCAAGACTTTTCTTCAAGGGTGATCGGAATACATTCTGAGACCTAGCTCAGGAAGACTAAAATCATAACTCTGGCAATTCCAAAAGGACCCTGGGTCCCAGACCTTGGACAAGCCACAAACATGGCCGTGACATGACAAGAAAAAGAAGACAATTTCAAGTCACAGGTCAGAGAAGCAGCAGAAAGTCTGGGGCATGCCCCAAGTGTCCTTGCCCACAGCTGAGCCACACACATGACCTCTCCAAATGATCCCAGGTAAAACATGCCAGATATAGCCAGGTATAATATAGAACTCATAGGCTATTTGTGGGACCCTCTGGGGGAAAGGTGAGCTTTCTGACAAGAACTGAGCTACTGGGACCCATAGTTGACACCATAAGAAAAGAGCTGCCTTAAAAGGAAAAGTGGTGCAGAAAAATGGTGAAATTAAGAAAAGGAAGCAGATTCCAGATGATGATCATTGACATCTGGATCCAGCTATGCCTGAAGACCACTCTGCCTTGACTTTATACTCCTTTGATTCTCTTTATTTGCTTAGAGCACATGAAGTTGAGTTTCCATCACTCACAACTGAGAGAGACCTCAGTAGCCAGAGAGAGTTGGTGACTTGCACAGTGACTAAGCATTCTGGGGTCAGAGCCATAGTTTCTGTGGGATGCTGCCCCCTCCTCTGCTCATCCTGGTCTGTCCAGGAAGGAGAATAACAGAGAGCAAGGGGAGATGAACCAGCTGGTGTGGGATCTGCCATTGGAGATTCCTGAAACCTGTAGGAGGAGAGCAGTAAACTTGGTGTGGACGAGTATCAGGATGAAGTAGAAGGAATTGACCTATCATAGGCAGACATCACAAACAGCAGCCCAGATTCTCCACCAGCCAGAAGTCCTCCTACCGCTCTGGGCTGAGGGATGGACAAGGCTGACGTCAGGACTGGAGGGGCCCCCAAATACCAATGATGCCCACTGCATCATCCTGCCCCACACTTCAAAACTCCTACTCTAGAGTTCAGACCCAGCTCCAACAACTCCTCCAGGAAGCTTTCCAGCCTGCCCCAGCAGACGCCCAGTTCTCTGGGTTGTCACTCCCATCTCTCTCGCCCACTCCTAACCCCAGGAAGCTAAAACTCTTCCTGTCTAGACCCATCTCCTCAAGCATGGGCTTTCCCTCAAGAAAGGGCTTTTTTGTTCTCCCTGGACAAACCAGGATGAGCAGAGGAGGGGGCAGCATCCCACAGAAACTATGGCTCTGACCCCAGAATGCTTAGTCACTATGCAAGTCACCAACTCTGGCTGCTGAGGTCTCTCTCAGTTGTGAGGCCTCTTGGAGTTCCAGTGGTGCCCAGGACACCAAGACAGGGAGCAAATGGCAATGGAGGGAGAAGACATTGAGAGGGAAATCTCAGTGAGGGGACTGGGTACTCAAGGAGGGCCCTGGGTACCAAAGGGACCACACGGAAGGTTAGCCTGGCACCCACCACCACAGGCTGTGCATGGGTACCTGAGGCATTGGTGATAGACCGGATGATGTCAGGGTGGCATAAAACGACGAAGGGGATGATGGGACCCAGCCATATCCTAAAGCCTGGGGAATAGGTGGCCGATATCTGGGTCATGTTCTTCAAGCCCTCCTCTGTAGGACCGATCTGAAAGCAAGTCGGGATGTCACCTCCTGTGATGGTTACATCTATGCTAAGGGATGCCCAGATAGCCACTCACACATTTTTGCTGTGTGTGTTTGTGAGGGTGTTTCAGGAGAAAATAGCATTTGAGGGTACACTGAGGAAGGAAGTAGTAGGTAGAGAGAAGTGAGTGAGGAGAGGAGTGGGTGGGGAAATGAATGAGTGAGTGAATGGGGAGAGGAATGAGTGAGTGAGCAGGAAGAGGAATGAGTGAGCGGGGGAGGTATCAGTAGGAGAGGAGTGAGTGAGTGAGTGGGGAGAGGAATGAGTGAGTGAGTAGGGAAAGGAATGAGCTCCCACTCCTCAGCCACCCTCATTACTCAGCTCCCTGAGCCCCATTCCTGCCCCTCTGGAAGTCCATCCCTCCTGAGACCCCAGACCCATTTTGCCTCCGCACTCACCAGTCCCAGGTGACCCCAAAACCAGTTCCGTTTTGGGGGTTCCGGGAAACACTGGAGCCGGCGGCACTTGTCATAGAAGGTGTAGGTCCAGGCCAAGACACGGGCCAGCAGCCAGTAGGCCCCGACCAGCGGCAGGAGCAGCCATGGGGACGCTACCACTGGCCCGAGGCCCAGCCAGGACAGGCTCAGCAGTGACATCCTGCAGGGGGGTGGGCTGGAGAGTGAGGTCCTGAGGCCCAGGGAGCTCAGGGGACAGAGGAGAGGGGCCAGGTCAGGAAATGCAGGGGGCAGGGCAAGGAGGGCTCAGGGTTGGGTAAACAAGGGCTGAGATCTAAAGTCCAGAAAGGCCCAACGAAAACCAACAACCGAGCGGCCTCCAGTGACCTGGTAACCACACAGAAAGGGAGAGAGAGAGGAGCTGATTCAAGTCCAGGCAGGCTCAGCCTGAATCCTTAGGAGTCCAGTTACCAAGAAGCCACCACTCTCCCAGGCCCACAGCCTATAGTCACCCCAGCCTTGGGCGGTGCCCCTCCCCATCCCAGGCCAGGACCCTCCAGTACCACCACCTCCAGCCTGGTACCTCTGTCAGGCGCAGCTTGTTCCTCACAACCTCCTCTCCTCTTCTGGAAAGTCTTTGCCTCTGGCCTCTGATCTAGGGAACGCCCTGGGAAGCTGGGCTGGGCTGGGCCAGCCAATCCCCACCGCCTGGGTGTGTCTTCCGTGCGTGGGCAGCCACCCAAACCCTGGGGTTGGGCCAGCTGGGTGCAGATGGACCCGCTCAGTGTGCCCCCACACGAGCACTGAATTCTCAGGTCTCAGCACCTTCTTGGCAGTTTGGAGGAGAAGTTGGGGTGTGGTTAAAGGAGACTCTGAACCCTAAGTTTACAGCCATCCTGCCCTTCCACAAGGGTGTTCAGATAAAAGCATGAACTTATCATGAGAGTTTGGAGCCAGTTGAGCTGGCCAGGCAGACCCCTGTCCCAGATCATCCGGGTTCCTCTCCAAATATGGGCGGGGAGTATGTCAGGCACCATTTCTTGGTGCAGACTTAGGAAGGTCAGAGACGGAAGCGTCTAACCTCTGACTTCACAGCCTGGCAAGAGTTCAAGCCCTGCCTCCAGGCAGCCCAGGGCCCGAGTTGAGAACTGACTGCTGGAAGCAGGAACAAAGAACCCAGCCCCACTGACGATTACCGGTCAGATTTTGGTGATAAAGAGCTCAGCTGGAGGAGCAAACCCAGAGGCTGGGCTCAGCTTAGGAGGCCAGAGCAGAGGCACAGAGGATGAGGCTGAGAGGGGCCGGATGGGTCCAGGCAGGGGAGGGCAGAGCGAGGGGCCCTGAGTGGAGTCCTTGTTCTGCCCTGTCCTTGCTCTGACTGTGGGCAGTGCGGCCCTCCTGGGCTCAGGCTCCCCATCTGGGAAATGGGATGTCAGATGAGGCCTTAGAAGTTGACAGAAGGCAGCTCCTAAGAAGAGGGAGCCCCAAAAAGAGGGGCTGAAGGGAAGGGAATGGCAACTAGCACTTGAACTGCTTGCTGTGTGCCTGTCTCTACTCTGTGCAAAAGACTGTATAGAAAGTACTACTGTGTGCCAGTCTCACTATATAAAGTGTACCTACTGTGTACTAGGTACTCTATATAAATTCTGTCTACTATGTGCCAGGTGCACCACATGAAGTCCACCTACTGTGTGCAGCATGCTCTGCATAATGTAAGCTTACTTAGTGCAGAGTACTTTATATAAAGCGTGCCTACTCTGTGCCATGTGCTGTATATAAAGCATACCTACTGTATGTCAGGTGCTGTACATTGAGCATGTCTACTGTGTACCTGGTGACCTACATAAAGCGCATCTGACCTGTTCTGTGTCAAGTATTGTACATAAATCTGGTCTACTGTGTGCTGGCTACTCTACATACGGTGTACCTACTGTGTGCCAGGTGCTCCAGATAAAGAGTGTCTACTGTATGCTGGGTGCCCTTCACAAATCCTGTATCTTGAGTCCCTGGCCCTTTATATAAGCCATACCTGCTGTGTGCCAGATGTTCTACATAAGATGCTGCTTCTGTGTGTTGAGTGCTCTACATATAGCAAAACTGCTCTGGCAACATACTTCACATATTATGTGCCAGGTACACTATTTAAAGTGTGCCTTACAATATGCCCAATATGCTACATGAAGAGTACCTACTGTGTGCCAGGTATGTCACATAAAGTGTACCTACTATGCGATAGGTACTCCACATAAAATACACCTACTGTGTGCCAGGTGTTCTACGTAAAGTGCACCTACTGTGTGCCAGGTGCTTAACATAAAGTGCACCTACTGTGTGCCAGGTGCTATACGTAAACTGCACCTGCTTATATCAGATGCTCACCTGCATCACCATGCCCAAAGCTGTCCCAGCACCCTCCCATCAGCTCTCTAGGCCAGAGGCCTGGGGACTGTTGGAGAGACCAGAGTGATGACATCCAGAGGAGGGAAGACATCCATTTAACATAAAAGCAAACTGAGTCTCAGAGTGGGCAGGCCTCTAGCCCAAGTTGCACAGCTTGCAGGAACTCAGGTCTGTAAGAGCCTCAAGTCCAAATCATTTTCCTTTGCCATGCGGCCTTACCCCTATTCATTAGGGTCAATGCCATATTAATACAGGGACATTTATAATGTGGTTTTTCCCAACTCTGTTCCCACCTGCAAATACTCCCCCAGCCAGGGCTTTAGGAAGCTGTAGAAGACCTTGCCCATTGGTACAATGGCAGCTGACATGAATGAGGACAATCAGGGGCCATGGAGGCGGGTAAAGGAGGGACTTCAGGTGTGTGTGGGGAAGCTCCCAGCCAGAGGTTTCCACTTCTCCCCTCAGACCCCCACATAGCAGGAAGGGGGCCAAAGGCAGAGAAAGGAGAAAGGTTGGGGGAGAAGAGAGGAGAGGAGACCAGGCTGTGGCAGCACCGTACAGCAAGGACAGCGTAACACGGCACGGCATACTTGAGTACATCTTGACATGGCTCCAACTTAGTCTAACATGTTCTGCAACACCTGAGCATAGCTCGACACTACAGAATTCCTTTACAGGGACCCAGCTCTCCTGGCACTGTCCACCATCTCCTGACAAACCTGGAACATGTGACGTGGCTCCAATATGTCTTAGCATGTCCTGACATGGCCACAAAACACATAACCAGCCCCAGCATTATACAATATACTCGAACAAGGACTTAAGACCATCTAAAATGACCTCAGCATGTACCATTTGGCAGGCCCCAGGTAGGATTTAAATATGGTCCCTTTAAGGACCCAGATGTGGCCCAGGTCTAGTCCCAGATGTTCCTCAGGCATGACTTAAATGTACTGTAAAGCCGGTCTCAGACAATACTCAAATAATGTCTTAGAACTTTTTTTTTTTTTTTTTTTTTTGAGACGGAGTTTCACTCTTGTTACCCAGGCTGGAGTGCAATGGCGCGATCTCGGCTCACCGCAGCCTCCGCCTCCTGGGTTCAGGCAATTCTCCTGCCTCAGCCTCCTGAGTAGCTGGGATTACAGGCACGCACAACCATGCCCAGCTAATTTTTTGTATTTTTAGTAGAGATGGGGTTTCACCATGTTGACCAGGATGGTCTCGATCTATTGACCTTGTGATCCACCCGCCTCGGCCTCCCAAAGTGCTGGGATTACAGGCTTGAGCCACTGTGCCCAGTGTCTTAGAACATTTATAAAGAGACCGTAGGTCCCAGACGTTGGACTCATTCCAAACATGGCCCAGATGTGACCAGCAAGAGAAAAAGACCACCTCAAACAGCATCTCAGACAAAAACCAGACAGACCCCACATGCCCTAAATACTCTTAGCCACAGCTGAGCTCCAGACATGACAATCTGCATATGATTCCAGGTATAAACATATTCCAGGTGTAACCAGGACCCAGGTGTAAATATACATGTGACAAGATGTTGCCATAGAGCCACACTGCCACACTGAGGTGAGCTAGAAAGGGAGGGAGGGGGCTCTTCTCAACACGGTGATCCTGCAGGGACTCCCCCAGAGGTCACCTTGGAGCAGAAAGCTAAGTGACATGAAAGATGGCCCTGGGTAGGAACCAGCCCCTGAAGCTATGCCAGGAGTGTAAAAACCCAGTTCCCGGAGGGGCAATAAAATGGCCTGGAAAGTGTGTCCTTTTCTGCTTCTTTCTTCTATAGGACAATTTCCCTCAGGGTCCAGGAGAAAGCAGGAACCAGGTGCCCTGCCAATCCACAGTAGTGATGAAATCTGGCCCAGCCATACTGCCCAAAGCAATTTGTAATTCAGTGCCATTCCCGTTAAACTACCATTGACATTCTTCACAAAACTAGAAAAAAACTAGTTTAAAATTCATGTGGGACCAAAAAAGAGCCCAAATGGCCAAGGTAATCCTAAGCAAAAAGAGCAAAGCTGGAGGCATCAGCCTACCAGACTTCAAACTACACTACAGGGCTACAGTAACGAAAACAGCATGGTACTTGTACAAGACCAATGGACTAGAATAAAGAGCCCAGAAATAAGACCACACACCTACTACTATCTGACCTTTGACAAACCTGACAAAAACAAGCAATGGAGAAAGGACTCCCTGTACAATAAATGCTGCAGAGACCATCCCTGTGGAGGGGAAAGATGTTTCTTATCCCAAACTGATGTAGGAGTTCAGAAGAAATTATCTAGGCCATAAGTGAGGGTAAGGGAGTCCTTGGTAAGATTTTCCTTTTAATGAAAAGCTGTCCCCAAATCATTTTCTTTTCTAACAAAGAGGAGCCTGTGAAATCAAGCGGCAGACACAGGCAGCCTAGAAGCTTGCAAGGGTGAATACCGGCAGCTGTGCCAATAGGAAAGGGGCAACCTGGAGACTAGGCACGTCCAACATGGCGGCTCCATCCTCCCTTTCCCTCGACAACCACATGCCCAGTAGGGAGCAGACAATATGGTGCAGGCCAAGTGGAAAGTCCATTTGCATAACAGAAGATTACAATGGGGCAGCCAGCTTCCTCCCGTGCTTTGTAAAGGTCACACCTGGTCCAGTCAATTTTGGGGCCCTATGTAAATCAGACACCTCCTCCTCAAGCCAGTTTATAAAATCCCCTGCACTTGCACTCCGGGGTGGGCAGGAATTCCCATTCAGGTGCTCCCTCTCTCACAGGAGAGAGAACTCTTCTCCTTTTCTCTTTCTTCCTATTAAACCTCCGCTCTTAAACTCACTCCATGTGTGTGTCCATGTCCTTGATTTCCTTGGCATGGGGCAATGAACCTCGGGTATTACCCCAGAAAAATGAGCCACTTCAAAACCAATAAAGGGGACCTCAAGAACATCGCTGAAAGGGGGCAAAAGGATGGGATTCTGCTTTTTTTTTTTTTTTTTTTTTTTTCTTTTTTTGAGACGGAGTCTTGCTCTGTCACCCATGCTGGAGTGCAATGGTGTGATCTTGGCTCACTGCAACCTCCGCCTCCCAGATTCAAGCGATTCTCATGTCTCAGCCCCCGAGTAGCTGGGAGTCATCCTATCCACAGGGAGGGAGCTGGGTTACTTATCTACTGATACCCAACAGTCATTACTCAGGGATGCTCCTAATGGCATGATTTCTCCACAATGTGCTGCCTGCACTGCAAGGGTCAGATCTGGGACAGGAGTGGGAGCTCTGATGGTGGCTCTGACAGCAGCCTGGTGAAGAACAGGGACTCCAGGTGCAGGCTGCATGGTTCAGCTCTCAACCGGCGATGGGAATTTGAGCCAGTCTCTTTACCTCTCTGTGTCTCAGTTTTCTCACCTGAAAACTGGGGGTAATAACAAGGTTACCATGAAAATTAAGTGAGTTAAAATGAGCAAAGTGTTGGCCAGGCACTGTGGCTTATGTTTGTAATCCTAGCACTTTGGGAGGCAGAGGCAGGTAGATGGCCTGAGCTCAGGAACCTGGGCAACACAGTGAAACCCCATCTCTACTAAAATACAAAAAATTAGCCGGTCATGGCAGCATATGTCTGTAGTCCCAGCTACTCAGAAGGCTGAGGCAGGAGAATTGCTTGAACCCTGGAGGCAGAGGTTGCAGTAAGCTGAGATCATGCCACTGCACTCCAGCCTGGGCAACAGAGCGAGACTCCATCTCAAAAGAAAAAAATATGAGTACAGTGTTTATAACAATGCTCCCAGACACATGGTCAGCCCCAAGCATGTGTGTGCCATTATTACTTAATGATAGATTAAAGACAGGAACACAGGAGCAAGAACATAGCCTCATGTGGACTGTTAGAGTCTCTCAGTGACAACCAGGCACGGTGGCTCACACCTGTAATCCTAGCACTTTGGGAGGCTGAGGTGGGTGGATCACCTGAGGTCAGGAGTTCAAGAACATCCTGGTTAACATGGTGAAACCCCATCTCTACTAAAAATACAAAAATTAGTTGGGCTTGGTGGCACCTGCCTGTAGTTGGCAGAGGCTGCGGTGAGCCAAGATTGTGCCACTGCACTCCAGCCTGGGTAACGAGAGAGAAACTCCATCTCACAAAAAAAAAAAAAAAAAGAAAGAAAAGAAAGAAAGAAATCCACGAATAAAATAAAGGCAGGGTATACTATGTTCACGAACTGGAAGAATCAATATCATTGTTAAGTCTCCTCAGATTGATCTATAGATTCACAGAAATCTCAATTAAAATCCTATCAGGACTATCTGTAGAAATAGACACACTGATCATAAAATTTATGTAAAAACACAAAGGATGCAAAATAGCCAAAAATTATTTGGAAAAAAATATAGTTGAAGGATTCCCATTATTCCTTTAAAGACATACTGTAATGCTACAGTGACCAGGGCAGTGTGGTGTTGGGCCAGCATGAAACAGAATAGAAAATCCAGAAATATATGCACCCAAATGTAAACAATTGAGTGATCTACAAACCAGCAAGTCAAGTTAATGCAAAAAGGATACTCTTTCCAAAATAATTGTATGGAACAATTGGATATCTATTTAAAAACAAAAAAAAAAACAAAACAAAAGTCAAACCATAGTTCACACCCCATACAAAATGTAACTAAATAAATTTTGATCATAGAATTACATGTAAAATCTAAAACTATAAAAGTTTTAACAGAAAATGTAGGAGAAAATCTCCATAAACTCCAGTTAAGCAAAGAGTTCCTATATATGGCAATGTAAACATAATTCATAAAAAAGTAAAATTGGTAAGTATTACCTCAAAACAATTCAAAATGTTTTCTCTAGGAAAGAAACTTCTGAGTCTAGGAAAAAGACATGTAAATCACACATCTGACTTGTGCACAAAAATCTATGAAGAACACTCAAAATCCTACAATAAGAAGGCAAACAACCCAAGGAAAAATTAATAGGCAGATTATTTGAACAGACACTTCACCAAAGAATATACAGCCATGTCAAATAGGTACATGAAGGCACGAATGGTTCAACGCCATTAGTCACTGGGAAATGTGAATTAAAATCTCAGGAATATGCCACAGCATACCCATAAGGAAGGCTGGAACCAAAACTGACACTACTAAGGGCTGTTAATTATTTAGTGGACCTAGAATTCTCATACATGACTTATGAAAATTAAACACACGATGCAGATGCTTTGGAAACAGTGTGGGTTTTGTTTTTTGCTTTTTTGAGACAATCTCACTCTGTCGCCAGGCTAGAAAGGGTACCCAAAGAGTAAAAGTGTTTACCTTTAGAAAGAGGGAGAAATCGGCTGGGCGCGGTGGCTCAAGCCTGTAATCCCAGCACTTTGGGAGGCCGAGGCGGGTGGATCACGAGGTCAAGAGATCGAGACCATCTTGGTCAACGTGGTGAAACCCTATCTCTACTAAAAATACAAAAAATTAGCTGGGCGTGGTGGCGCGTGCCTCTAATCCCAGCTACTCAGGAGGCTGAGGCAGGAGAACTGCCTGAACCCAGGAGGCAGAGGCTATGGTGAGCCAAGATCGCGCCATTGCACTCCAGCCTGGGTAACAAGAGCGAAACTCCGTCTCAAAAAAAAAAAAAAAAAAAAAAAATTAAAAAAAAAAAGAAAGAGGGAGAAATCTTTTATTTTCTTTGTAACTTTTTAAAAGAATTGTTACAAAGTCACAGGAATGATAAAAACAGGGCAGAGGAAGGGTATGTGTAGCAGCAACACGTCCCCGATGCTTGTCACTGTGCCTTTAACTTTTTGTATGAGTGAATGGATTTCCTGGCAACAGTATTACAATTAAAAATTTAGGCACCCCTGTCAAAGTCTCATCTACTCACTCTGGAGTGGCTCCCAGGTCATCTCATGTGCCTAGGGATAAGACTCACTCTGAAAATGACTTCTGTGGTAGGATAAGGCATGACCTCTGATGCCAAATGGACCAGATTTATCCCCATGCTGCCACTCACTGAGTGACCTTGAGCAAGAGACTTAACATCCACTCCATAAGATGAGTGTTAGCATGAAAATCACGTTTACCTGGGGAAGCTAAAATGTCACCTCCTCCCTTTTCAGTGGTCTACTTGTTAATGGGACCAAAACAGTCAGTGTCCGTGGAGTTTGTAGGGCATACCTGTTCTAGAAAAGTCCCTAACCACACCTGTATCTTATAGGAATATTTGTGCATCTATTGCTATAAAAATAAAATCTCCACCCCAAAAGTCCTTTGATGAAGAACAACTTGATTTGTAACTGATAATATCTCAAGCCATTACTGTGCATGGAAACAATTCTTACAAACTGAGTCCAAACCTTTTTAAATTATTTCTAACATTATGTCTTTTTAAAAATTTAAGACTGATTTGAATGCTTAACATGCACATTTTTAAAAACACAAAATAATGTTTACTAAGATGATTTAAAGTCATGGAAAGATGCTCACAACATATTCCTGTGTGAATAATCCAGATGGAAAAAATATATATGAGTTATTACACCATTTTTAGGTAGAATTCACATAAAATAAAATTCACCATTTCAACCATTTCAAAGTGTCCAGTCCAACAGCATTTAGTGCACTCACAATGTCATGCTACCTTCGTCACTATCTGGGTCTGGAACATTTTCACCGTCCCAGGAGGAAACCCTGTCCTGATCAGCAGGTCCTCCTCAGTCCCACCTCCCCACAGCTCCTGAAAACCATCAATCTGCTTTACATCTCTTCACATTGGCCTGTTCTGGAAATTTCAGCTAAATGAATCATACACTATGCGACCTTTTGCATCTGATGCCTTTCATTCAGTATCATGTATTCAAGGTTCATCCACAGTGTATGGATCAGTACTTCATTCCTTTTTATGACTGCGTAATATTCCATTGTATGGATGGGCCACCCTTTGTTTATGCTTTCATCTGGTAATATATACATTGGGGTTGCTTTCAGCGTTTGGCTGCTGTGAATCGGGCTGCCATGAACATTCACGCACAGGCGTCTTTTTGTTTGAACACCTTTCTCAATTATTTTGAGTATATATCTAGGATGGAAAGCTTTACAGTGGAATAGAGTCATACGGTAATTGTATGCCCCACTTCTGATGAATCAGGGGGCGTTTTAGGAAGGGTAGAGTAGGTCTCTGCAGACCTCAGCTCAGGGGCTCCACACGCAGCCAAAGTCCGCCCTCCGCACGCAGGACCAGCTCCGGCTTCCTGCGGGGCTCGGTGTGGTCCAGCAGGACGCGGAAGCGCAGCAGCGTGAGCGCCAGCACCACCTTCATCTCCGCCATGGCGAATGCCTGCCCGATGCAGTTCCTAGGGGAGGGAGGTGGGAACTCACACTGCAACCAAGAACCCCATGCTGGCCCCATCAAGCCGGGAACCTGGCCTAGGTCAGTCAATTCCACCTAGATCGGCTTGAGGAACAGAGGCTGGGGGAGGTCTACATGCCTGGAGTCCCATGTGGGCTTGCATATCCTGCAGGCCTAGCCCAGAGCCAGCCCCCAGCCCAGACCAAGGTGGGGTGGGAGGGGACTCTGAGCAACCCACAGGGCTTCCTAGCACCAACCCAACCCTATTCTATGGACCTTTTCCCGTAAACTCCAGAGGCGGGGAGGGAAGCAGAGCTGGAACTCGGACCATCCGCAATGTCCTCCTTTTCCCCACTGTCATGCCCAGACCCCCGCACCCATCACCCTGTCCCTACCTCAGACACAGGCCGCCCTTACCTGGGCCCTGCCGAGAAGGGAATAAAAGCCAGAGGTGACCTCTCCTTGCTGTTTTCTGGGTCAAAGCGGAAGGGGTCATAGACCTGGAGGTGAGACCAAGGAGGCTTGCTGGGTGGGGACTCCCAGGACCGCCAGCCTTGGGGAGACAGACAGTTGCGTGTGTCTGGGAGGGAGGTGATGTTGGAGTCTCCTGATCAAAACCCTGCCCCCTCCTCTAGGAGCCTTGAAATGGACAAAAACGGGGGGTGGGGGAGAGGGAGCGGGGAGCACCTCAGGGTCCGGCCACACAGTTGGGTTGTGATGGGTTCCCAAAACACTGATGAGGCAGATAACACCTGTGGGAGAGAAGGGGCGGTCGGAACAAGGTCCCTCTGCCTGAGGGGCCCGTCTTCCTACCCAGGAGTCTCCTCCTCTTGAGGCTGTGCACACCTTTGGGAATGACCCGGCCGTCTGGGAGAGCAATGTCTTGGGTGCAGCAGCGGGAGACAGCAGGGACCGGGGGATGTAACCGCAGGCTCTCCTTCACACACATGGTCAGGAAGGGCAGCTTTGCCAGGTCATCCCTAGGGAAACACCCCAGCCCCAGTCATTATCCGGGGAGCCAAGACAGTACTCTCCAGTTTCTCTGGGTGCAAGTGAGACCTTTTCTTTTCTTTTCTTTTTAACTTTTTAAAATAATTGTTACAAAGTCACAGGAATGATAAAAACAGTGTGGCACTATTGCGAAAACAAGAAAATAGACCCATGGAACAGAACGGAGAGCTCAGAAGAAGACATGAGAGTAAGTAAAAACTTCACATTTGGTGAAGGGGTCCCCACCCACCCCCAAACAAAATCCTGGGAAATGCATGGATTTTACAGTTGTGAAAGAAAAATGTGGACCAATTTAACTTCATAGAAATTAATCAAAAGTGCCTTCCAAAAGTTAAGAGGCAATATTTTGCAACACAAGACAGAAAAAAAGATCAATTTTAATACACAGTCTTAAAAGTAAATGCTTTTAAAGAATGCAAAGAAAAAGAGCAAAATAGTAAGAAAACCAGTTCCATAAAAAGAAAGCAAATAACATCAACATGTATGAGAGATGTTCAGCCTCACTCTTCTTTTTTTAAATATCCATCAAAAGAAGAAATATGAAGATTGGCCAAGATTTAAAATTCAATAATACAATAGTACTATCAGCAAAGTTATGGGAAAGTTTTGTTATAAAAGTCAACTAATAGTAAAGGATTTGCAGTCATCTTGTACGGTGGCTCATGCCTGTAATCTCAGCACTTTGGGAGGCTGAGGCAGACAGATTGCCTGAGGTCAGGAGTTCAAGACCAGCCTGGCTAACATGGTGAAACCCCTTCTCTACCAAAAAAAACATACAAAAAATTAGCCAGACATGATGGTGGGTGCCTGTAATCCCAGATGCTTGGGAGGCTGAGGCAGGAGAATCACCTGAACCTGGGAGGTGAAGGCTGCAGTAAGCTGAGTTCGTGCCATTGCACTCCAGCCTGGGCAACAATAGTAAAATTCTGTCTAAAAAAAAAAATTGTGCAGTGCAAATGGTCTTTGATTCAGCAATTGTACTTCAGGAAATTTGTCCTGCAGAGATGCTTATACATGTAAGGAATGATTCACTGTACAACAGGCTGACTGCATTGTGTCCAGTTTAGCAAAAGTTTGGGGACAAGCCAAATATACATTAGTGGGAAAATGTTTAGGTAAACACCCACACGATGGAATACTACACAGCTAAACGAAAGGAGGAAATAGGGATCATTAATCTCATCACATACCACAGGCCAGCAGGTAAATCAGTACAGACACTCTGGAAGGCAAATTGTAAATATCTACTACAATTAAAAATGTTTAATGTCCTCTTCTATGTAGAAATGAGCTGAATAAAATATGGAATAAAATATACAGTGCTCAAAAAAAAAAAAACACCAGCATTAAGGCACCCTCTTGAGTGAAAAAAAGTTACAAGCATATACATATGTATGTGTAAAAGAGCAGAAAGTATGTGGAAATATATTTATAAAAATGAGTGATTCATAGGCAGATGATGGAGAGATAGATGATTGATTGAAAGATGACAGATAGCTGATATAGAGAGATAGATATAAAGATACATAGATAGATACATAGACACATAGATAATAGGTAGATAAATAAATAGATAATAGATGATAGATACATAGTCATATAGACGATAGATACATAGGTGATAGAGATGATAGATAGATGAGATAGAGAGATAGATAGGTAGATGATAGATAGATAGGTAGATAAATTTATGGCTTAGAGACACCTTTGCAGAATGAGAGAGGATTAGGTGGGGTGGCAGGATTGTCAAGGAAAACCCCAGTCTTATCTGTAATGTCTCATTTGGTGCCAAGAAGAACTCTCTTTTATCATTGGTTTTGGAATTTAATGCTCTTTTTCCATATGACGTATATATACACACAATGCAATACCATTTAGCCTTTTAAAAAGATAAAATTATCTCATTTGCCACAATATAGAAGAACCTGGAGGAACGTATGCTAAGTGAAGTAATCCAGGTGCGGAAAGACAAACACACGTGATCTTACTTATCTTGGGACCTAAAATAGTCGAGCTCATAGAAATAGGGGTAGAATGGTGGTTACCAGAGGCCAGGGCTAGGGGAGGGAAAGGGAAGGATGAGATGATGGTCAAAGGGTAGAAGCTTCAATTAGACAAGACGGGCAAGTTTTTGAGACCTGCTGCACAGCGTGGTGCCTTTAGTGAGCGATGTATTGTATTAGTTGAAATTGCTGAGAGAGTAAATTTCAAACGTTCTCAACACAAAGATGATAAATACATGAAGTGACGGATTTGTTCATTACCTTGATTTAATAATTTCAGGTTGTATACATGCATCATAACATCATACTGTACCTCTAAACATATATAATTAAAACTTGTCAATTAAAGATAAATAACACATTTAAAAGCAAACTCGTTTTCCAAAATTTGTAGTTTAAGAAAAGTAAAGTAAAGGATCTCAGAGATAATGTACAGACCTGTGTCTATTTTATGTACTTTCATTTACAAGGAAAAGCACAGTGCGTTTTCATATAAATAATTATCAGAGTGTGGGCTCATATAAATATGGGCATCGGGATAGCCATTTCCTGGAAGAATACACAGAAAACTGTTGCCTGTAGTCACCGCTAAGGTGGAGCTTAATAAGGATGCTCATTTTTATCATTAAGTCTTCTGGGCCTTTGCTTTTAACCACTTGCATAATTTTGCTTGAAATCTTGGTTTTATACTCTGGGACATGGGTCAGGGCAAAGATTTTCTGTGTAAAACCTTAAAAGCACAGGCAATAGAGAAATGAAATTATATCAAGTGAAAAAGCTTCTGCACAGCAAAGGGAACAATCAACAAAGTGAAGAATCAACCCACAGAATGGCAGAAGATATTCTCAAATTACACATCTGACAAGCAATTAATAACCAGAATCTATAAGCAGCTCAAACAACTCAATAGGAAAAATAACCAAATCATCTGATTTTAAAATGTGCAAAAGATCTCAATAGACATTTCTTAAAAGAAGGCATGCAAATGGCAAAGGGGTAGATGGGAAAAAATGATCAATGTCATTAATCGCCAGAGAAATGCAAATCAAAACCACAATGAGTTATCAACTCATCCCAATTAAAATGACTTTTATCAAAAAGACAGGCAATGATGGATGCGGGTGAGGATGGAGACAGGGGGCTCTCACACACTGTTGGTGGGAATGTAAGTTAGTACCGCCACTGTAGAGAACAGCACAGAGGTTCCTCAAGAAACTAAAACTAGAAGTACCATAAAACTGAGAAATTCCACTTCTGAAAAGAAAGGAAGAAATTTCTATCCCAAAGAAAGAAAATCAATCTATTGAAGAGCTATCTATACTCCTGTGTTTATTGTGGCACTATTCACAAGAGCCAAATGATGGAATCAACCTAAGTGCTCATTCACTGATGAATGGATAAAGAAAATGTGGTGTGTATATTCTGCCACCGTTAAAAAGACTGAAATTCTGTCATTTGGGGCAACATGGATGGATCTGGGGGTCACTGTGGTAAGTAAATAAGCCAAGCACAGAAAGACACATATCACATGTTCTCACTCACGTACGAGACCTGAAAAAGTGGGTCTCATGAAAATAGAAAGTAGATTGGTAGAGGGGAGGAAGGGATGAGGAGTTGATTAATGGGTACAAATACGAGGTTTGATATGAGAAATAAAACCTAGCACTTGATAGATCAGGGGTCTCACTATAACATACAGTATGTACTGTACATTCCAGAATAGTTTGCTTATGTTAGTTATGTTTCTAGCATAAAGAAAAGACAGCCGGGCGCGGTGGCTCAAGCCTGTAATCCCAGCACTTTGGGAGGCCGAGGCGGGTGGATCACGAGGTCAAGAGATCGAGACCATCCTGGTCAATATGGTGAAACCCCGTCTCTACTAAAAATACAAAAAATTAGCTGTGCATGGTGGCACAGCCTGTAATCCCAGCTACTCAGGAGGCTGAGGCAGGAGAATTGCCTGAACCCAGGAGGCGGAGGTTGCGGTGAGCCGAGATTGCGCCATTGCACTCCAGCCTGGGTAACAAGAGTGAAACTCCGTCTCAAAAAAAAAAAAAAAAAAGAAAGAAAAGACAAATATTTCTGGCGATGGATATCCCAAGTACATTGATTTGATCTTAATCAATCATATGAATATATTAGATTATCACATGTATTTCAAAACTATGTGCCTCTATTATGCATCGATAAAAATGTGTTTCAAAATATAAAAATGCAAAAAAAAATTCTTGGTTTTAAAAGCATAAAAATGTTTCTTCCCCTCCCAGGACTGCTGTGCTGAGCAAAGGCGTGGATGGGAGGACACTGAATTCAAGACATCTGTCCACTCCAATGCTTCCTCTCCTTCCTCCAGGTCCCTGGCCTTGCTTGGGCCTCAGAATGTCCCCCCTGTACCCTCATTCTACAGCTAGTCCTCTCCAGTATGCCCTCCACACTAGCCCTAGAAAGGACTTCCTGGTATCCAGATCTGACCTGTCCCTCGCCTGCTCAAACACTTCCCATGGTTCCCCATTGCCCTTGGGTTAAAACTGAAGACATTAACATTTTCCCCAAGGCTTCTGCAGTCAGCCCCTGCTACCATCTCCAGTTTTATCATCTCACCATGACTCAGTCTCTCCCTCTTTCTCCCCTTCTCCTTTCTGTCCCCACTCTGCTGTCTCTCTCTCTCTCTCTCTCTCTCTCTCTCTCTCTTCCTCTCTCTCTCTCTCTCTTCCTCCCCTGAAGACGCTAGGCAGTCTTGTTGACTTAGAGCACTGTTCCCCAACTGTACCCAGTTAGCTACTGATCATCATTCAGGCTCTCCACTGAGACAGTTTCTATACCCCCAAGTCATGCGTCTCTTACTGTAAGCCCCATCCCTGCCCATGTGGGCTACAAGTGTCCTGACCAGGGACAGTTCCCCCACCAGGCTGGGAGCACCTGGAAAACAGAACCCTGGGTTGGGTCCTTCCCAGGTCTCCAGAGCACAGAAAGATGCTGTGCGCAGACGCAGGGGTGGAGTGCAGTGTGTGAGCGTTTGCTGAACGAGGACTGGAAGGATGAATGGTGCAGGTGTTCTGGACAAGAGTGGATGGAGCTTACCCCCAGGTCTGCCTTATAAATCCTGGGACTGGACAGGAGGGTAGGAATTAGGCAACCGATGAGCAAACACCCAAGAAGTGAAGATGTTCAAAAAACTTATATTATTTCTGGGACAAAAGGAAGAGACTGGAGGGGAAGTTCGTTTGCTAAACGTGTGCTAAGTGGCGTTATCTGTTCTCATATCATCACCAATTCTCTCAGCAGCCCGGTCTTTCACTCCTAAGGGCTTGCAACCTTTCCCCTGACAGTCGGGCGGGTATTAAGCCCTGCCTGTGGTCCTCTGCTCCTATTCCCACTAAGCAATAGTGGCTGAATCAACTCTTCCTCCCCTCCCCACCTGGAGAGCAGAGCCAATGAGAGGGGCTCAGGAACAGCCACCAGCACCCTCACTCACCATTCAATCTCTTTAGGCTCACGGTCCTTCAGAAGCTCTTGCACCTCCCGCCTGCAGCGCTCCTGGTATTCTGGGTGCTTTGCAAGGTGGTAGAGGACCCAGGAGAGACCACTGGCCGTGGTGTCATGGCCTGAGGGGCAGCAAGACAGGATTGGGTTTCTGGGCTGCTTCAGCACCTGAAGGTGGACAGCGACCCACACACTGAGGACCTCAGGGAGGATGGGGGAAGGGGCATGGGAAGGCTGAGGGGGTCGAGCCACCACATTCCTGGAATGGAGAGATCCTGGCCCCCCCATACCCCCACACTGGGACTCTCACCCTCAAACATGAAGGTGTCAGCTTCTGCTCTTATGTCTTCATCAGACAACTCCTTCCCATCTTCATCCTGGAGAGAAGGCAATAATCCCCCCCAAGCACCCCACCATAAAAAGTCACACCAGCTCTGAAGGCTCTTCAGTCTTATTGAGACAATCTCTGAAGATTCATCTGCTTTCCAGAAACCCCAGTCCATCTTGCACTCCTAGACCCCTCTTGGTCGCCATGGCCAGAGCCCCCACTGCATGGGCTTCCTCCCTGGCTTCCTTGCCTCCTCTTGGGTCCCTATTGGGAAGACTCAATGACCCATGAATGCTTTCCTGTTTCTGCATGATGACAACTTTCTGAGAAAAGGTTACTGGCAACCTGGGTTACAGGATAATTAGATGCCAATTTGCCTTGGAAATTAGAGATTAAGTATTGCTCCAAAGATATTTGCTCACATTCTAGAGTGGTAAATGAATCTTGTCTCCCTGGAGACATTTGGGTTGCAAGTCAATGGAATATGGCATCCAGAACAAAGCACATCATCTCTCACAAAGCTTGTGCCCTCTCTCCCCCTGCCTCCCTCTCTCTCTCTCTCTCTCTCTCTCTCTCTCTCTCTTTCTCTCTCTCTCTGTCTCTCTCTCAGTAGAAAATGTGCTAAGACTCATAATGTAGGGCCCCAACTAAGGAGGTTGCAGTGAGCCGAGATTGCACCACTATACTCCAGCCTGGGTGACAGAGCAAGGCACTGTCTCAAACAAACAAAAAAAAGCCAAAGAAAAGAAAAGATAGGACAAAGGCATAGAGGTAGACAAAGATGAAGACACAGATACAAAGACATACAGATATGGCCAATGACAAAGACGAAGACACAGACATAGTCAAAGTCAGACAGACACAAACTCAAACAGAGACAAATATATAGGAAGACATAGGCAAAAGCATAAATGTAGACCCAGCCATAGATATAAATATAGAAGTATAGATTAAAATGTGACTAGTTTGCTTATTAACTTATAAATCGAGTAAAATCTCAGACTCTGCAATTTCATTCAGCCGTGCCCTGCTAGGTACATTCCACAGAGTTATCTCCAAAACCTATCTCTGACCTGCCTCTCTCTTCATCAAGCCCATTTCTGGCTCCCCAGAAATGCAGAAAACTTGGGTGCCCTCTGCATGAAACCCAAGTTCTTTGATCTGACAGGTGACATGCAGCTCCCTTCTGCTTCTGGAATTCAGATCCCAGAGAAGCCCACCTTGCTCAGCAGGAGCACATCAATGAAGTCCAGAGTCTTGGCCTTGGCCTTGGCCTGGAGGAAGTCGTCAACACCCTGGCTGGGGAGGGTGCGGCGCCGCTCCTGGATGACGGCGTCTGTGAAGTCGTGCACCAGGCGGCAGGCCCTGAGGAAGCGCCGCCCATCCGGGGTGAGATAATACAGGAAGTCCGAGTGCAGGAGAAGATGCTGGTGTCTTTTCACCACAAGGGCACTGAGCTCCAAGATGGCGGCGATGTATTCACTGGGCTTCCTGCAGGATAAGGGCGGAAAGGGAGGCAACAATTCAACGCACCTGAAACCCCAGGAGCACCTCCCACCAGCAGCCGGGAGCTACCTCCTATCTGCAAACACAGTATCAAGGAACAGATGACCCCTCCCATACAGGGTGGGGATCAGCATGAGACTGACCCTCCAAGCTCTCTTCTCTCCCCGCGTCCCATCTCTGTGAGATGCCTCCATGCCGCTGGGCACCCAGAACAGCTTGCACATTATACTCCTCTCTCTCTCTCCCAGTACACAGTCCTGCCCCTTCTCCTTCTTGAAACTGTCCACAAACCTTAGAATGTATTCCCCTCCACCTGGTCCATGGTCCAGCCTCCACACTGGCCTCTTTGCATCCATTTTAAGTCCATTTAGTACTACATTACAGTCAGTCCCTGATAGAGACCCACTCTGACTATACCCACCAGTTCAAACCCTTTCAATGGCTCCCTGGAAAACTCAAAATAAAGTTCATGCCAGTCCTTCAGTGATCAGCTATAACAAGACTCGTCCAGGAAGGTTTTTCTGATGTCCATGCTCAGTCCTCCCTCCCCCACCTACCCACTTTGGGTCCATGTCCCAAGATCCCAGACCCTGGGCAAGAACTCACTCCTGGCAATGGCTGTCAAAGCTGAAGACGCATTTCTGCAGGCTGTCCAAGGTCATGAGGCTGATGTGCTCAAACATGTCCAGACGGGCACTGCCCTCCGAGGCCAGGCGCTGCCACTTGCCCTGGCCAGAGAAGGGGACAGAGCTGGTGCAGGTCCCTTGCTCCCTTGAGCATCTCTCAAACCCCAACCACCAAGAGGGACCCCCAAAAATAAGCCTCTTCATCTTCTCCCCAGGGAACCCTCTTCAGGGAGGATGAGCTTATGGTGGGAGCACAGGCTGTTACTATTAAGAGATGAAGACCCAAGATTGGGAGTCAAGAGACCACCGTTCAAGTTCCAGCTCTGCCTCCTGCGCTCCGTGTGCCATTAGTCAACTCCTTACCCTCCCCTCCATCCCATCTGTCAAATTCTCAGGAACAGTTAAGATGATGTGCTTTGGAGCCACATAATTCACGTTAGGAACTCTGCTCCACCATGCCAAGCTCACTCATTAGCTGGGTGAGCTTGAGATAGCTCCCAAATCTCTCAGACCTGTAGTTTCGTCACCTACCATGGGGCAGAAATACATAATCTCTCCTTCACAGAGTTGTTAAAATCAAATAGGAAAATATATGTACTCATATCATGGAATGGGCACATGGCATTGTTTCTGGCATATGGTGAGTGCTTAATAAATGTTGGGTTTCCTCATCTGCATTGTTATAAATTGATTACAAAATATCCTTGTGTTTATACAGATCGCCCTCCATCAGTCCTGAGCAGCCCTTCTGAGTATGTCGGGAATGCAAGACGTTGATGTTGGTGGTGTCCTTAACTTGGAAAATGTCTCAGTGTTGTGTTTGCAGAGAATAACTTTGAGGGACAAGGTAATGACACCCCCTGGATATGTTGCTTCTGCTTGCTATAAAAACAGATGCCTAAGCCTAATGCCCCTTCCCTGTAATGCATTATATGATGTCAGCAGGCATTTATAGAAGCACACCTGCGTCAGCCCACGGGATTTGGGGAGCTTGGAGAAAAAATGCAGTCTAACAAGAAACACATGCTGCTCTCTGTGTCCTGAGCAGTAAACTGTCCTTTGTCTCTGACTCAGGAGTTTCTTATTCTTCCAGAAGAATTTATGAAATAGTAACTAGCTTAACATCGATTTGCAAGTTAAAAAAATTTTAGACACTTTACAAAAACTCTACCCTGATTCATCCCTTCCCCCCATATCCTCACTCTTTGCAATGTGATTTTTCAGAAACTCCCAATGATAGACAGCCTATTTTACCCCCCTGCCTTTGATTCTATGTGGGACTATTGGCTTTCAATGTCAAAATACAACGTGAAAATGATGAGGTAATAACTAATGAAGCTAAGCCACGTGTTACTCCCTGCAAACCTGCCGGCACTGGGAACCATGGGGTGACTTCTGGAGGGACAGAATCACATGGAGGAACATCCGGGGTCCCAGGTGAGGCCATCTGCATCAGTCTGAAGCCGGGCAAAACCCAAACATGTGAGAGAGCTCAGCCAACACCCACAAGGCTGCCTATATGACCCCAGGCTGCTCATGTACCAAGACTAATCCCTTCCACATCCAGAAGAACCCATCAACTGTCCCACAGAGTTATTAACAATCACAAACACTTATTGTTTTAAACCAATGAATTTTCAGGTGGTTTCTCATCAGCAACAGCTGCTATGCAATCGTCGTCATGACCCTCTTCGGTTTACAGGGCTTGGGTGACAAAAACATAGAAACAGATACCTTCTGGTCACCTACTGTGCACCAGGGACATGACTCCATTACATCACCTCGACCATCTTTTAAGTAGGGATTATTTTCCCCATTTTACAGATGGGGAAACCAAGGCTCAGAGGGGAAGAGCAACGGCCCAATGCCACCCAGCAGAGCCAAAATTCCAGACCACATCTGTCTGTGGTCCCCCCACCCCAAGGCTGCAGCTGGGACCCTGGCTTCAAAGAACTCACATGCATGATGTTCACGCTCTCATTGAAGATCTTCATGTAGGGCTTCAGGATGTTGAAGTGGAAGGCGGGCGTCAGCATCCGGCGGTGGCGGCTCCACTTGTCACCAGAACTCAGCAGGAGCCCGTCCCCTGGCAGGGCAGCCAAGGGTCTTGGGTCAAGGGCAGCGCCCTCCCCTGGGCCCCCAGGTTGTTCCCAACCCTGTTCACCTGCAGATACTCACCCAGCCAGGGCTTCAGGAAGCTGTAGAAGACTTCATCCTTTGGTGCAATGGCGGCTGACATAAATGAGGACATTCAGGGGCCATGGAGGCAGGAAAAGGAGGGACATTGGGGGTGGGGGAGGCTCCCAGCCAGAGGTTTGCACTTCTCCACCTCCAAGCCCCGCATAGCAGGAAGGGAACCAAGGGCAGAGGAAGAAGGGAGGATGGGGGAGGGGAGGAGAGCAGCCCAGGCTGAGGCAGCGCAGCACAGCAATGATGCCCTAACATGGCACAGAGGAGCTACATCAGGGCTCCAGCACGCCTCGACATGCCTCCTACATGATCCAACGTGTTCTGCAACCCCTGAGCATAGCTCAGCACTCTGCAAAGTGCCTTCACAAGGACCTAGGATGCCCTGTCTGCCCAAGCACACTCTGACATCTTCTGACAAGTCATCTTCTGACACGGACCTGGGACATGGAGCGTGACCCTGACGTGCTCACATATCCTGACATGGTCACAAAACACATCACAATTCCCAACAAGAGACAGCATGCTCTGACATGCACATGAGATGCTCTAACACGACTGTAAGTACGTGCTCCACACACAGGCTCCAGGTAGAAGATAAATATGGTATCTTTAATGTCCCAGACATAGCCCACATGTGACCCAGATGGTTCCTTGGTATGACCCAAACATACAATAACACATGCCTCAGAAAAGACTGAAATACTGTCTCAGACAGTTCATATAGGGACCATGAGTCCCAGACCTCACACAAGCTCCAAACACGGCCCAGATGTGACCAGCAGGAGAAAATGACAATGTCAAACAGCATCTCAGACGACAGCTAGACGGCCCTCACATGCTCCAAATGTCCTTGGTTACAGATGAGCCCTGCACGTGACCAGCTCTACAGGACTCCGGTTGTAATGCAACACTAGATGTAACCAGGCATAACATCTTTCAGACGTGACCAGACCCAGGTGTAAGTACACACGTGACAAGACACGGCCATACGGCAGACCTGACCATACAACAGCCATCAGAGAGACACGCCCCAGACATGAGCAAACAGGAACGGAGGCCAGACAGGTGGAAGTCCAGGGGAGACGGAGGCAGTGGCATCTCCACCACGGCCCCTCCTGTCTGCATGTGGGCACGGGACCAGCTGGAGGTAGCACAGTGAGCCCAGCTGTGGGCAGAGCGTGGCCAGCGCGGTGTCTACCTGGAGCAAAGAGCACAGGCTTGATGCAGGTGGGGTGGAAGATGCGGACGATCGCGTGCCAGGGCCCCACCCACCAGCAGCACGCATCCCCAAAGGTGCACGCCAGGCTTTGTGTGTAAACGAGACCTTCCTCCGAGCTGCGAATCTGGAGAAAAACACACAGGACCCAGTTCATGCTCTTCTGGGCTGTCAGAGAGAAGGCTCTGCAGGGAGGAGGTCGAGGCCCTCGCCCTGAGAGTTTCCAGCGGCATCTCATCCTCCCCTCGGTGCCGAGCCCCGTGAGCTTCCTGCTCACATCCTCCGTCCTCCATGCAGGACTCTCCAGTCCCTCAGTGACACAGACAGAAAAGGTCTTTCCCCACGTGGAGCCACACACCACGTTCCCTGGGTGTGTTCATCCCATTTTCTAGATGCAGAGACTGAGGCTCTGGATGATAAAGTCACTACCCACAGTCCCAGACCATAAGCCTGAGGCCTGAGGCTGGGTCTGTCTGCATCCATGGCCTGAGTCCTTAGCCACCAAACTTCTTTGTGTCCCCAAAACAGTAGCTCTGGAAGCCTCAGACCTGCCAAGCCTGGGCCATCAGAGACACAGGGACTGGAGGAAAAATTGGTCCTGTGACCCAGGCTGGGACAAGTAAATCATGGGCCATTTCTGGAAACTCTGGGGGAAATGTGGGCTTTCCCATGGGAACTGAGCTTCTGGGACTCATCCTTGGCATCATGAGGAAAAGGTTGCCAAGAAAGGAAAAGTGAAGTGGAGAAAGCGAAAGCCAAGAGAGGAAGACACATTCCCAGTGACATTGTATGAGACCTGGATCCAGCCATGCCTGAAGGCCACCCTCCCTGGACTTTAAAGTCAACAGATCCTTCGTTACTTAGACCACACCAGGTTGGGTTTTCACCACTCACAACTGAAAGAGACCTCAATAACCAGAGACAGCTAGGAAGTGGCCCAGAGTCATGCAGAATTTTGGGATAAGAGCCACGGTCTCTGTAGGATGCTGCCCATTCCCCTGCTTGGCCTGGCCTGTCCAAGATGGGAAGCACAGTGGTCAAGGAAAGGGTCCCAAGCTGGGGTAGAGTCTCCTTTTGGAGACTGCCAGGGCCTAGAGCAGAAAGCAATGAACTTAGGGCAGACAAGCTACAGGATTTTCGGGTAGAAGGAATTGACCCACACCAGAGAGGCAGACATCATGGAAATAATAACCCGGATCCTCCACCAGCCACAAGCCCTCCTCATTGTTCAGGGCTTTGGGACAGGCAAGGTGATGCTAGGCCTGGCACGGGACCTTGAATACTAACGATGCCCAATTGCATCACCCCACACTTTCCTTTCAAACATTCCTACTCATTGCTCCAGACAGCTCCAGCAACTCCTCCTCCAGGAAGCCTTCCAGCCTTCCCCAGTGAAGACCTTGTTCTTCCCTGGGCTGTCATCCATCTCCCTCTGGCCCTTTCCTGACCCCATGAAGTTGGGAATGTCTCTGTCAAGATCCATCTCCTTAATCTTGGGGGTTCCTCCAGGGCAAGGCCTTGGGTTGAGGTCTCTTGGAACCCCAGGGCAGCCCAGAGCACCAGAACGGGGAGTCAGAGAGCAATGGAGAGAGGAGACGCTGAGATGGGAATTGGTGGATACAAGAAAGAAAGAGGAAGATGGCTGAGAGAGAAGGAAGGGAGAGGCCAGAGTACCTCAGGGGCCACGCAGGCGCTTGGGGATAGAGGGACTTGCAGGCTTCAGACGCACCACAGCACCCACCACCAGGTGTTCCAGGTGGTACCTGAGGCGTTGACGACAGACCGGAGGATATTGGGGTGGCACAAACGGATGATGGGGATGAAGGGGCCCATCCAGACCTTAAAGCCCTGGGGGTAGGTGGCCACCAGCTGAGTCAGGACCCTCATCCCCTGCTCCGTGGGGGGGACCTGTAAGCAAGGCAGGGGCCGTCACCTCCTGTGATGGTTACTCCTAGGTGTCCACTTGACTGGGCTAAAGGATGCCCAGATAGCCAGTCTAACATTATTTCTGGTTGTGTCTGTGAGGGTATTCCCAGAAGAGACTGGCATTCGATTTGGTAAATTGAGGAAGGAAGAACTGCCTCCCCAATGTGGGCAGAGCTCATTCAACCTGTTGAGAGCCCAGGTAGCACAAAAAAGCAGAGGAAAGGCTAATTTGCTCTGTTCTGGGGCTGGCACATCCATCTTCTCCTGCCCTTGGACATCAGACCTCCACCTTCTCAGGCCTTTGGACTCTGAGTTACACCACCATCGTCCCTGTCTCTCCAGCCCGCAGACAGCAGACCATGAAGCAGCTAAGCCTCCATAATCCTGTGAGCCAATTTCTATAATAAACTCCCTCTTCTGTCTCCCTATCTATCTACCTACCTATCTATGTATCGATCTATCATCTAACTACCTCTCTGCCTATCCATCTATCTACCTATATGTCTATATATCTATCTATGTATATATTTATCTATCTAATCTATGTTTCTATGTATCTATCCATCTATCTAATCCATTTATTCTATCTTATCTGTCTATCCATCTATCATCTATCCATTCATCCACTCATCCTATCTGTGCATCCATTTATCCATCTAGCCTATATTTTACCTATCTATCTATTCATCTATCCATCTAATCTATTCATCCTAATTTTTCTATCTAAATATCTATCTACCCATCCATCCCATCTGTACATTCATTCATCCTATTATCTGTCAATCATCTAGCTATCTATCCATCCATCCATCTAATCTATCCATCCTATATATCTACTCGACCTATCTAACCACCTAATCTATCCATCCTATCTACTACGCTATGAATCTGTCCATCCATCCATCCATCTATCCTATGCATGCATCCATCTGTCCATCCATCAATCTATCGTGTTATCCATCTATATATCTACTTACCTACCTATCCAGCCAGTCCGCCATCTATTCTCCCTACCTGTGCATCCATCCATCCATCTGTCCTATTACCTATCTACCTATCTGTCTACATTCCTTCTGCTCTGTCTCTCTCGGGGCCATCTCCAAGTCCCAAAGGTGCATCCCAGGGCAGAAGGAGAAGACACACTGTCTGCTCACAGAGTCCCACTTAACTTGAGAGGAAAGATTTTCTTGTTCTGGGAGTCATTTCAGCCCAGAGGCAGCCATATGAGGAGGTCCTCACAGGGGAGATTTGTGGGGAGCAGTATGGCCTCAGGACATGTCCCTAAGGCTGGTCCCCACGGTTCCTCCCATGGAGAGAGTTCTGCACACAGGGTACCTTCCTTCTCAGCGGCCACTAGGGGGCAGAGGTGACTCTAACGGCCCATCAGGACAGTGGCACCCGCCCGGGAGCAGCTTCTGCACCAGGCCCTGTGCTAGTGCGTCCTGTGCACCCTTCCACTTCACCTGATGAATTGACACGTCCATCAGTCCTGTCATTGGCAGTGAGAAGACTGAGACCACATCCCCCAAAGGGGAGAGTAGGTCTAAGCCAGAGGGCAAAGTCCGGGGGAGGAGGAGGGTCAGGGGAGGCTTCTGAAAGGGGAAGTGAGTGGCCAACTTTTACCTGGGTTTGGCAACAGGACTTATTGGGACATCTCACTGGGGAGGAACAAGGAAAGAGGAAGGTGCCTCCGGATATGGTGGAGGTGGGAGACAGCCCACACCTCTCCTCTGGCCCAGCTCTACCCTCATCCCAGGAAACAGGCCAGGCAGGGAGAGGACCCTGGACGGTGGAGAATGTGGGAGCGCCAGGGGCTCGCCTCTCTGTGCACCCAAGCCCCTGCCCAGGAGCCCCGCAGAGGGGAACGGATGTAGAAACACAGGCAGGAAAAGGATTCAGTGCAGGCTAGGAGTAGGGGGACAAGGCGGTGAGGAGGGCTTGGGTTGGCAAAGCACAGAAATGAGTGAGCACACAGAGGAATGAGTGGGACGCCTCCCCTGCTCCTCTGCGACCTCAGATCCCAGCCCCCCCCACCCCACTCCCTGAGCCCCGTTCTTACCCCTCAGGAAGTCCATCCACCCTGAGACCTCAGACCCAGCCTGTTGCCACACTCACCAGGCCCAGGTGACCCAGGAACCAGTTCCGTTTCGGAGGCTGCGGGAAACACTGGAGCCGGCGGCGGTTGTCGTAGAAGGTGTAGGTCCAGGCCAGGACACGGGCCAGCAGCCAGGAGACCCCGACCAGCAGCAGGAGCAGCCATGGGGACGCTGCCACCGGCCTGAGGCCCAGCCAGGACAGGCTCAGCTGTGACATCCTGCAGGGGGACGGGATGGAGGGTGAGGTCCTGAGGCCCAGGGAAGAGCCGGGGGAGCTCAGGGGACAGCGGAGAGGGGCAGGGACGGGCAGTGCTGGAGGCAGAGCAGGGAGGCTCAGGGATGGGTCAACAGGGACCGAGAAATAAAGTTCAGAAAGGCCCAGCAGCCCAGTGGCCTCCAGTGACCTGGTAAGCACTGAGACTGGGAGAGAGACACAGAGACTGATTAACGTCCAGAAATGCCCAGGCTGAATCAATGGAGGTGGCCAGGGGACTGGTTTCAGTTACCAGGAAACCACCCCTCCTCCAGGCCAGCACCCGGGAGCTGCCTGGGCCTTGGGCAATGCCCCTCTCCATCCCCAGCTAAGCCCCAGAGGCCCGCCACCCCCAGCCTGGCACCTTCTGTCAGGAGCAGCCTGTCTCACACAACCTCCTCTCTCCCTCTGCTGGGAGGTCTTTGACCCTGGCCCTTGATGTGGGGAAGGCTGCAGGAGGCTGGGCTGGGCTGGGCTGGGCTGGGCTGGGCTGGGCTGGGCTGGGCCAACCAATCTCCACAGCCTGGGTGCCTCTCCCATGCCTGGGCAGCCAGCCAAACCTGACATCAGGCTAGCTGCGTGCAGAGGAACACGCTCAGGGTCTGGATGAATGGGTAAATAGAGAGAGTAGATATATATGATGGATAGATTATACAGATGGATAGATGGCGATAGATAGATAGACAGACAGATAGACAGGATAAATAGACGGATGAACTTACAGCTAAGATGGACTGATGGATGGGTGGGCAGGCAGATAGACATATAGATAGAGAAATTAGAGAGATAGGAAGAATAGATTAGACAGACACACCCAGAAATAATGTTCTATTTCTGCCCAGATATGTGGGATCCTCATTTGTGATGTGGGAACTGGGGATCTTGGGTCACCCCAATACTCCAGATGCTACAAGACCAGTGACTTACTCAGTACAATGCTGAGGAGCACGGCCGTCAGAAACAGGATCAGTCACTCTCAGGCGAAAACAAACAAAACAAAACAAAACAAAAAAAAACCCTCCAAGGATTAAATGTTTTTTCCCATTGTTCTGAGGAGAAATTAATTCAAAAGAGGTGCCAGGGCAGAGAATTCCCCACCCCCCCCACCACCACCATGGGCATACCATCACCCCTGCAGTTTTCTGATTTACTCTTTGGCTCATTAAGCATGAACTTTCCTATGCCACTTTTCCTTCTGATAAGGGAGAAAAGATTAATATCTGTACATTTCCTCTCCTCCTCCTGCCTGGTCTCTGTATTCCAGTTAAACTATAATTTATGTGGAGGATTTACAATGTCTGACACACCTAGCTGAGCCTTCAGCACAGAGATACATTGAAAGTGAAGGCGAATTGGGTGAAAGGAGAAACGCCATAAGCCCACACTCTAGTCTATGAGGTGGATTAAAGGTCTACCTTGCCCAACTCTTGCCTCACCTGCTCCCATGGTCTGAGTAAAAGTTTGGGTCCCAGGTCTTTGAGGTTGTGCAAAGCCTTCCACCCCCATACCTGCAGCACAGTCTCTGTGCAGGGGAGGTTTCACCAATCTCTACAGGCTCACGGTCCTTCAGAAGCTCTCTGACTTCTTGCCAGCAGCGTTCCTGGCATTCTGGGTGCCTTGAAAGGTGGTATAAGACCCAGGAGAGACCACTGGCCGTGGTGTCATAGCCTGAGGGGCAGCCAAGCAAAACTGGGTTTCTGGGCTGCTTCAGCACCAGAGGGTGGACAGCACCAATACTTTCAGGCCCTGGGGAGAAGGCAGGGAAGCGGAGGACGGGCAGAATGGAGTAATCTAGGGTCCACCCATCACGTCGCTGGAACTGAGAGTCCCCTGTCCCCACTGCAGTCCCACACTGAGACCCTCACCCCCAAACGTGAAGGTATCTGCTTCTGCTCTTATGTCCTTATCAGACAACTCCCTCCCATCTTCATCCTGGAGAGAAGGTAAGACAATACCCACGCCCCACATCACAACAGCTCTGAGGGCTCTTGAGTCAAACCTAAAACAATTTCTGAAGATCCATCCTCCTTCCAGAAACCCAAGCCCATCGTGCACTCCTAGATGTCTCTTGGGCACCACCATCAGAGCCCACCACCTACAGACAACCCCCTGGCTTCTCTGCCTCCTATGTGGCCCTGCTGGGAAGAGTCAGTGACCTATGGATATTTTCTTGTTTCTGGATAATGAGGACTTTTGGAGTAAAGCGTTACTGCAACCTGGGTCACAGCATATTTCAATGGCAATTTGGCTTGGAGGTTGGAAATCAAGTATTGCTCTGAGGATAGCTGCTCACATTCTAGAGTGGTAAACCCAGCTAGTCCTTCTTATCTTTCCAGAAGGCATCTGGGTCACAAACCTATAAACCTAGGGGCATGACGTCTCCCTGGAGTGGAGTAGTTTTTACTCCAGAACAAAGCAAACACCTCTCTCTCTCTTTCCTCTCTCTCCCTCTCTGTCTTTGTCTCATTCTCACTCTGCCCTGGAAGGAAGAAGGGGCAGATTGCTAGCTGTCCTATATAAGCTCCAAGATGTAATAATGCAGGGCCCCTCTCTGCTCTGCATTCTGGTGTATTTACAGGTAAATCATTGTGTTCCCCTGGGTGGAATATGGGAATGGAGAGCCAGCTCTACAATCCTACTCTGGTTGCTGCTATTGTTGTGGATGATTAATGGGCTACTGTAACCCAGGGGTCTGGTGCATCTGTCATCATAGACATAGACAAAGACCTAGACAGAGAGATATGCATAGAAATGTGTCACTAATTTACTGAGATGTAAGTAAAGAAAAATCTCAGGCTCCCCACTGTCTCAAATGTAGCAGTCCCCTGCTGCTGAATTCCACCAACAACTCTCAAACCTCTCTCTGACCTGTCTTTTTCAAGCATTTTCCATGGCTCCCAGCACCCTCTGGATCGACTCCAGGCTCTTTGATTTGACATTGGCATAAATGTCCACTGTTACTTGAACTCACATCCCAGAGAAGCCCACCTTGCTCAGCAGAAGCACATCAATGAAGTCTAAAGTCTTGGACTTGGCCTTGTCCTTGAAGAAGTCATCAGTACCCTGAGTGGGGAGGGCGCGGCGCCGCTCCTGGATGAGGGCGTCTGTGAAGTCGTGCACCAGGCGGCAGGCCCTGCGGAAGCGCCGCCCATCCGGAGTCAGATAATACAGGAAGTCCGAGTGCAGGAGAAAGTGCTGGTTTCTTTTTTCTACAGAGGCACTGAGTTCCAAGGTGGCGGCGATATAGTCGCTGGGCTTCCTGCATGGAGGTAACAACATATGCAGTGTCCCAGGAGCACCTCTCACCAGCAGCTACAATCTACTGCCCATCAGGAAATTGAGCATCCAGAAACAGCCAGGAGACTTGACTCTCCAAACTCTCTTCTCTCCAGGCACCTAGGTACCCAGAGCACAGCTTGCACACCATGCTTCTCTCCTTTGTCTCACACCCGCTATCCAGTCTGGACTCTTCCTTCCAAACACTGTTCACAAAACTCAGACCTCACCATCTTCCAACTCTTTCTGGCTCAGCCCCCACCATAACCGACTTGCATCCAATGTCAGCCCCATGTAGTGTCTACATGACAGGCAGACCTCAGCTGTGACTGCACCTGTCATCGGCTCAGGCCCCTTCAAAAGATTCCTGGGAACCTCTTGATAAAGTTCATGCCACTTTTCCTGATTTTCAGTGTCCTGAAATCTAGCCCCGTCTACTTCTACCACCTCATTTCTACTGCCTGTTACACATGCTTGCCTCATCCTAGCCTTTTTGCCTATATTCGGCTATTTCCACCTACTTGAAAGGACCATGCTTCCTGTCTCGCCTTCCCCACCCTTCAAAGCCCAGCTGTGACACAATTCCTTCAGGAAGGCACTTCTGGTTACCCTGGTCAGTCATCCCTTTCCAAGCTACTCCCTTGAGATCGCAGCCCAAGTTCTCAGGCCCAAGGGAAGGACTCACTGCTGACAATTGCTATCAAAGCTGAAGACACATTTCTGCAGAGTGTCCAAGGTCATGAGGCTGATGTGCTCAAACATGTCTAGTCTTGTGGTGCCCACTGAGGCCAGGCGCTGCCACTTGTCCTGGCCAGAGAAAAAAAACAGAGCTGAAGTTGTGAACTGCCTCCTGAGAGCCCCTTCCCAGACCCAGACATCAAGATGGATGCCCCACAATCATCCTCCTGTTCCCCTGCCCCAGGCACCCATCCCCAGGGAGGACCAGCCTTGCATAGGAGCGGAGACTGTTACTATTAGGAGGTAAAGACTCATGGCTGGGAGTCAAGAGACCTGGGATGAAGTCCCAGCTCAGCCTCCTGTGGTCTGTGTGCTCTTAGTCAACCTCCTGCACTCCCGTAGGTTCCACCTATCAAATCTTCAGTAACAGTTAGGACAACCTGCTCTGGGGACAGATAAACCAGGGTACAGTCGCTGCTCCACCACTTCTAGCCCACTTACTATCTGGTTGAAATTTGGCGAGCTCCCTAATCTCTCCCGCCCTCAGTTTCATCCTCTGCAATAGGGCAAAACCAACCATAACCTCACAGAGTTATTAAAATTAAATTTGAAAACATATATCATGGAGTTGGCAAATGGCCCTGTTTCTGGGGTATGGTGAGTGCTCAGTAAATGTTGGTTTCACTCATCTTCTTTGCTATAAATTCATTTCAAATGTATCCCTGTTGTGGGAGGGAACACTACACACTGGGGCCTGTCAGGGGTAGGGGTCAAGGGGAGAGAGAGCACTAGAACAAATACCTAATGCATGAGGGGCTTAAAACCTGGATGACGGGCTGGTGGGTGGGGCAAAGCGCCATGGCACATGTGTACATATGTAACAAACGTGCTTGTTCTACACATGTATGCCAGAACTTACATATGTACACTTTCATAAAATATATTTATTTAAAATGAAACCTATTTTAAAATATATTTTATACTTTATATATATTTATATACATGAAGATTTTATATGTGTGTGTATATATATATATATATATATCTCCCTGTTGTGATATGCCAAGAATGTAAGACCCTGTTGTTCTTACTTGGGCTCTTTCTCAGAGTTGTGTCTGCAGACAACATTGAGAGATAAGACAATGACTTCCCCTGGGCCAATATCCAGCCTACTTCTGCTTGCTATAAAAGCCCTTCCCTGAGCCTAGTGCTCTTTTCCTCCCATGCAAGGCACTGCATGAGCAGGCAGCTATTGAAACCTCTCTGTGGCACCCTGTGTATTGGGATGGAGAAATGAGGCAAACCAAGAACATGCTGCTTGCTATGCCATGAGTAATAAATCACCCTTTGTCTCTGACCCAGGACTCTCATATCTCCTGGCAGAATCTATGAAATATTAACAAAGCTAGCTCACCAGCTTGTTAATAAGTAAGAAAAACAACCTAAGCAATTCACAAAATCCCAACTCCCAATTCTTCACTTCTCCCTGTATTCACACACTTTGCACTATGATTTTCCAGCAACTTCTATCAAGAGATGGGGCCTGCTTTATGCCCCTTTGAGTCTGCACTGACGTCAGCCTGGTCGAACTTGGAAACATTGCAGAGAGAATGTCCAGAGCCATTGCAGTCTCCTCTCAGTCTCTCAGAACCAAGTCTATGCCGTGTGAACAGCAGGGTGCCTCCTGGAGGCAGAGAAACAGATGGAGAAAAAAGTCCAGGTATCACAGCTGAGGCCATCCTAGATCGACCTGAAGCTGTTGAAGCCCCAGGCAAACAAGTGAATAAGCTGAGCCAGGATCAGCAAAGCTGCCCACCTGACCCACAGCTGCTCATGTACCAAGAGTGATCCCGTCCCCATGCAGAAGAACCAGCCAACTGTCTCACAGACGTGCTAGGTATCATAAACACTATTGCTCTAAACCAGTGGGTTCTGAGTTGGTTTGTACTCAGCAATTGCTACTATGCAATCTTCGTTTTTACTCTCTTGAGTTTGAAGGGTTTCTGTGAGAGAAACATGGAAACTCACACCTTCTGAGACCTACTGTGTGCCAGGGACATGACTCCATTACATGATCTTACCACCTTTAAGTAGAGATTATTATTCCCATTTTACAGATATGGAAGCCAAGCCCCAGAGAGGAAGAGCATTGGCCCCAAAGCATAACCAAAATTCCAGACTGGATACGCCTGTGGTCCCTCTGCCCTGAGGCTCCAGCTGGACCCAGAGTTGAAGGGACTCACGTGCATGATGTTCACGCTCTTGTTGAAAATCGCCACATAGGGCTTGAGGATGTTGAAGTGGAAGGCGGGCGTCTAAAACAAAAAATAATAAATATAAACAAATAAATAAATAATTTTCATTTGCAATTCTGAGTTTGGCAAGAAGAGTGAACTGTGGCCCCGTGACTGGCACGCACATTTTAGAGTTCACAGTGTGCTCTCTCAGAAACTGTTTTAGTCAAAACTGTGTCATCATCTCTGGCCATTCACTTTATTCAAAAGACTTGACTTAAAATGACTATTTATGGAAATCAGCTTCAACTCTAGCCTCAAAAGACAAAAACATTGTAGTTCTAAAGATATTCAAAAGAAGGTAATTAAGGTTATTAAAAAGCAATGAAGGGCCAGGCACCATGTCTCACACCTGTAATCTCAGCACTTTGGGAGGCTGAGGCAGAAGGATCACTTGAGTTCAGGAGTTTGAGACCAGCCCGGGCAACACAGTGAGACCCTGTCTCTACAAAATAATTTTAAAAATTAGCTGGGCATGGAGGTCTGTGCCTGCTGTCTCAGCTACTCCAGAGCTTGGAATTGGACAGTGACTTGACGCCAGGAGTTTGAGGTTGCAGTGATCCAGGACTGCACCACTGCACTCCAGCCTGGGTGGCAGGGAGAGCTTTCATCTCTGAAAGAAAAATAAAGGAAGCAAGGAAGAGCTGCTCCTCCAAATACTCCCACATCATTTGGGGCAGTTACAAGATTCCAGAAAACATGGAAAACCTACCTTGAGTAACTTTTTGGATGTATGCTTATAAGAAAACAGATCTCTTTAATTAACTCATAGAAAGACTAACAGGAAAGGAGCCTAGGGGACGCGTGGTTTTACTTCCCTATTTAATTACATTAATTAATTAATTTATTTATTTAGATGGAGTCTCGCTCTGTCACCAGGCTGGAGTGCAGTGGCGTGATCTTGGCTCACTGCAACCGCCACCTCCCAGGTTCAAGAGATTCTCCTGCCTCAGCCTCCTGAGTAGCTGGGATTACAGACACCTACCACCACGCCCAGCCAATTTTTGTATTTTTAGTAGAGACAGGGTTTCACTATGTTGGCCAGGATGGTCTTGATCTCTTGACCTGTGATCCGCTCACACTGGCCTCCCAAAGTGCTGGGATTACAGGTGTGAGCAACGGTGCCTGGCTCCCTCATTTTAAACGTGAGAAAATTGGGTACCAAAGAGAGGAAGTTAACTCATCAGATAGAGAAGAGCCTCTCCTACCACAGGGGGTCTCTAATTGGAAAACCAGCAAAATTTGTTCCCTGCCTGATTCTCCAAGATCTTAGCCCAAAATAGAATAGAAATGTATCCACTTCAGAGGACAACTGGTTCATCCTTTGCCTTTTACACCTCTTTAGCAAGCAGTGTTTCTCAACTTTGTGATTGTGCAAACTCTTGAGCAGCACAAACTCCTGAGCTAAGAGACGTTCCACTCTGTTTGCAATTGAGGGCAAAGTCTGGGATCCTTGGACCCAGCTCCAAACTCCTTTTCCTGAAGTCTGGGGTGGCAGGGAAAAAAAAAAAAGCATTTATTTATTTATTTATTTATTTAGAGACGGAGTCTCACTCTGTCACTTAGGCTGGAGTGCAATGGTGCCATCTCGGCTCACTGCAACCTCCCCCCCCTCCCCGGGTACCAGCTATTCTCCTGTGTCAGTCTCCCAAGTAGCTGGGATTACAGGCATGCACTTGAGGTTAGAAGTTCGAGACCAGCCCGGCCAACATGGTGAAACCCCGTCTCTACTAAAAATACAAAAATTAACCATTACAAGTGCATGCTGGCTGGCGCTTTGTAATCCCAGGAACTTGGGGGAGTCTGAGGCATGAGAATTGCTTGAAACCAGGAGGCAGAAGTTGCAGTGAGCTGAGATTGCTCCACTTCACTCCAGACTGGGAGACAGAGTAACACTCTGTCTTCAGGGGGAAAAAAAAAAAGGAGAATTGGAAAGTTGTATCTAGAGGCATTCAGTGAAATTTGATGTTAAGAGACAAGGAAAGGGAAAAACGGAGAGTGGAAAAAAGCAACACTTCAAGAGTTTAGCTGGTGTTTTTATCAGAGATAGTGTTTCTTGGACTCTTCTCTGTTAAAAAAAAAAGTAGCCAGGTATAATGACTCATTCTTGTAATCCTTACACTTTGGGAAGCCAAGGCAGGAGGATCGCTTGAGGCCAGAAGTTCAAGACCAGCCTGGGCAGCATAGCAAAACTCTATTGCTCCAAAAATGATTTTTTTTTTTTGTGAGGATCACTTAAGCCCAGGAGCTGGAGGTCGCAGTCAGCTGAGATCTCACCACTGCATTCCAGCCAGCCTAAGGAGGCAGAAAGAGAGAGAAGAAAGGGAAAAACTGAGCAAGAATGGAAGAAGGGCAGGGTGCAGTGTCTCACACCTGTAATCCCAGCACTTTGTGAGGCTGAGGGGGGCTGATCATCTGAGGTCAGGAGTTCGAGACCTGCCTGGCCAACATGGTGAAACCCCATCGTTACTAAATTTGTAACTATCTTGAGCAGACATATGAGGAGAAACAGGTCATTGTCTCCAACATCAAAGGAATGAACCAAGATGTTGATTCTGAAGAGCCAACACTTACCCAAGAAGCCTCCACAGTGTGACCACACAGGGCCTCCACCAGCACTGAGTGTCGGAATTAAGGCATCTGAGGCTGGGCCACATTCTTGCAGAGGCCCCGCTCAAAACGTGGCCTGGAGTGATCAAAAGATGTTGATGTGGCAGCTCCTCACCAGATGTCCTGCTCCTACTCTTGCCCCTCCACCTCCTGCAATGTCCACCTCCCGGGTTCAAGCAATTCTCTTGCCTCAGCCTCCCAAGTAGCTGAAATTACAGGCACCTGCCACCACGCTGGGCTAATTTTTGTATTTTTTAGTGGAGACAGGGCTTCACTATGGTGGCCAGGCTGGTCTTAAACTCCTGATCTCAGGTGATCTACCCGCCTTGGCCTCCCAAAGTGCTGGGATTACAGGTGTGAGCCACCATGCCTGGCCTTTTTTTGTTGTTTCTTTTTTATTTTTATTTTTTGGTTTTAGAGAGAAGGTGTAGCTCTGTCACTAGGCTGGAGTGCAGTGGTGAAATCATGGCTCACTGCAGCCTCTATCTCCTGGGCTCAAGTGCTCCTCCAGCTTCAGCCTCCTGAGGAGCTGGGACTACAGACATGTGCCGCCACCCACGTGTGGTTCATTTTTTTTTTTTTTCCAAGATGGAGTACAATGGCCTAATCTTGGCTCACTGCAAACTCTGCCTCCTGGATTCAAGCAATTCTCCTGCCTCAGCTTCCCAAGTAGCTGGGATTACAGTCATTTACCACCATCTCTGGCTATCTTTTGTATTTTCAGTAGAGACAGGGTTTTACCATGTTGGCCAGGCTGCTCTCAAACTCCTGACCTCAGGTGATCTACCCACCTCCGCCTCCCAAAGTGCTGGGATTATAGGCATGAGCCACCGCGCCTGGCGTACCTGGTTAATTAAAAGTTATTTCTGGTCTCTTCCTTTCTCCGCCATCGTGGTGTGTGCTTTACTCCGTTTCTTGCCATGTCTTCTCACAAGACTTTCCGGATTAAGCGATTCCTGGCCAAGAAACGAAAGCAAAATCGTCCCATTCCCCAGTGGATTCGGATGAAAACTGGTAATAAAATCAGGTACAACTCCACAAGGAGACAGTGGAGAAGAACCAAGCTTGGTCTGTCAGAAATCACACATGCGATTGGCACACGTATTCATGCTGTCCGAAGGTCACAATCGAGTGTTACTAAACCAAGCTATCGGGAGACGTTTGAACAGATTCCTTTCTGTATCTGTTATGAAGGCATTAGTTAGTACAACCCACAGTGCTTCCATTATTCATGTTTTAAAAAAAAAAAGGTTTTGGTTGCCTGGGTTCAGTAATAAATATGTGAGACCTTTCACTTCAAAAAAAAAAAAAAAGTTATTTCTGCAGAGCCAGGGGTCTCTGTATGTTGCCCAGGCTGGTCTTAAACTCCTAGCCTCATGTGATTTCCCTACTTCGGCCTCCCAAAGTGCTGGGATGACATGCATGAATCACCATGCCCAGCCCCATTTTTAAAAATTAACTCAGTTTCAATTGCCTCTTATAGAAATATCATCAAATAGAAAATGTCAATGTTAAGTAGGATTTCCATGAAAAGGTGACAAATCACAAAATCTCCCTTCCTTGATGCTTATTCATACCTTTTACCTTTTTTTTTTTTTTTTTTTTTTTTTTTTTTTTTTGAGCTGGAGCCTCCCTCTGCTGCCCAGGCTGCAGTGTGGTGGCACAGTCTTGGCTCACTGCAACCTCTGGGTCACTGAAACCTTTACCTCCCAGGTTCAAGCAGTTCTCCTGCCTCAGCCTCCTGAGTAGCTGGGATTACAGGTTTGCACCACCACAGCCAGCTAATTTTTGTATTTTTTGCAGAGACGGGGTTTCCTCATGTTGGCCAGGCTGGTCTCAAACTCTTGTACCCGCCTCGGCCTTCCAAAGTGCTGAGATTACAGGCATGAGCCACCTCGACCGGCCCCTTCATACTTATTCATTCTAACAACATTGATTGTGTGCCCACTATGTGCAATAACTAGATTAGGTTCTGAGAATGAACAAGATGAGACTCCTGCCATAGGGAGCTTCTGTTCTGATTCGGCATGAGTTGGGGAGGAGAACAGGCAGACAAGCAGTTCAGTAAATAACAAGCTGATTTTTGAGTGTGATATCTGCTTTGAGAGAACCAGGCGGGACGAGGCAGTGCAGAGGAGGATGAGCCCCCTTCACAGGGTGAGGGAGAATTTCTCCGCAGAGGTGATGCGTGAACTGAGGTCTGAAACATGAGAAAACATGAGAAAAATCCAGCTGTGGCGGGAGGTGTGGGAAGTCCATTTCGGGCAGGGAAGAGCATGTGCAATGGTCCTGGAGGAAACCGCTTGGCATCTACAGGAGCAGAAAAGAAGCCCAGATGCCCGATGCAAATGAGCAAGAGGAAAAGAATAGAGGTGGCAGGCAGCGTCAGGTCACGCTGGGATTGGTTTGTTTTTTAAAGAGACATGGTCTCACTCTGTCACCCAGGCTGGAGTGCAGTGGGGCAATCATAGCTCACCGCAGCCTCAACCACTCCTGGGTTCAAGGGATTCTGTCATCTCAGCCTCAAAAGTAGCTGGGACTACAGGCATAAGCCCCACCAGGCCTGGCTAATTTCTTTTTCATTATTAGAGACGAGAGTCTTGCTGTGTTGCCTAGGTGGGTCTCAAACTGCCGCGCTCAAGTGATTCTCCCATTATGACCTCAAAAGGCACTGGAATTACAGGTTTGTACACTACATCTGGCCAAGACTGGGGGTTTTAAAATGCTTTACTTTTAATTTTTGTGGGTACATAGCAGGTGTACATATTTATGGGGTGCATGAGATGTTCTGTTACAGTCATGCAATGTGTAATAGTCACCTCGGGGTAAATGGAATACCCCTCACCTTAAGCATTTATCCTTTTTTTGTTTTACAAACAATTCAATTATGCTCTTTTCCCTGTTTCTTTCTCTCTCTCTCTCTCTCTCTCCTTTCTTTTTTTTCTTTTTCTTTTTTTTTTCTTTTTTTTGAGATGGAATGTAGCTCTGTCTCCTGGGCTGGAGTGCAGTGGTGAAAATCTCGGCTCACTGCAACATCCGCCCCATTTCCCCAGGTTCAAGTGATTCTCCAGCCTCAGCCTCCTGAGTAGTGAGGACTGCAGGTGCACGCCACCGAGCCTGGATAATTTTTGTATTTTTAGTAGAGACAGTGTTTTGCCATGTCAGGCTGGTCTTGAACTCCTGACCTCAGGTGATCCTCCTGCCTCAGCCTCCCAACGTGCTGGGATTACAGGCATAAGCCACCACCCCAGCCTCTTTTAGCTATTTAAAAATATACAATAAATTATTGCCTACCATTGTCACTCTGTGTACTACCAAGTACTACATCTTATTCCTTCTAACTGTTTTTTTGTACCTGTTAATTATTCCTGTGTACCCCCTCCAGCCCACCCTGCTCTCCAGCTTCTGGTAACCATCATTCTACTCTCTATTTCCATGAGGTCAATTGTTTTAATTTTTAGCACTCACAAATGACTGGGAGCACGTAAAATTTGTCTTTCAGTGTCTGGCTTATTTTAGTTAACATATCTTCATATAACGTATATACACACTTATCTCCATATTTATTTATAGTATACTAATTAAAAGGTAAATTCTTAATGCCCCAATGAAAGAGAATGGCAGGCCAGGTGTGGTGCCTCACACTTGTAATCCCAGCACAGCCGGAGGTGGAGGGAGGAGGATCACTTCAGCCCAGGAGTTTCAAACTGGCCCGGGAAACATGGTGAGACCCCGTCTCTACAACAAATCTAAGAATTGGACGGGCATGGCGGCTTGTGCCTAGGGTCCCAGCTACTCAGGAGGCTGAGGTGGGAGGATGACTTCAGCCACGAAGGCCGAGGTTGCAGCGAGCCGAGATCACACCACTGCACTTCAGCCTGAATGACAAAGCAGTAACTTGACTCAAAAAAAAAAAAAAGAGAGAAAATGGGTATCCCAGAAAACTTTAAAATATCTCTCTCTTCACAAACGTATATAATCATAGTATATTAATCAAAAAGTAAATTCTTAATACTTCATGGCAAGCAAACAGCAGGCCACGGATGACGGCTCGTGCCTGTAATCTCAGCACGTTGAAAGGCCCAGGCAAGAGGACTGCTTGTGTCCACAAGTGTAAGACCAGCCTCAGCAACAGCGTGAGGACCCACCTCTCAAACAAAACTGGACATTAGTCAGGGGTGGGGGCAGCTGGCTGCGGTCTACGCTGCTCAAGATGCTGACTTGGGAAAGTGAGTGGAGGCCAAAAGCCCACGGTTGCCAAAGAGCCATGATCACACGATGACACTCCAGCCTGGGTGACAGAGCAGGACCCTAAGGAAAAAAAATTAACTGTAAAAAATATAAAAAAGGAAGACATGAAATGAGACGCTACCACGTCCAGGGCACAGACAAACAGCCCAAGCAGAGGCCCATTGCCCTCCAAACGCCCAGAAGACAAAAAAAAACCATGAGACACTAAATAAGAGGCATCACTGTAAAAAGACACGGCAGAATTGACTACAAATCTGTCAGAAATACACTCTCCAGGTTGAAAGTAGAGACAGGTGTTCAGCCAAGGCACACCGCTGAAAAGTGAACAAAGGAGCGTCCAGGGAAGCTTTGGGTTTTTTGATGCTGTTGACGATCTAAGGCCTGTAGAGCCGGATCCGGAGGAGGCCGCTGTGAGGATGTGCAGGGCAGAGAAAACCACGAAGAGGCAGGAGACGAGCCTGGGGATGCCGTGGTGGGCACAGGCTGGTATAGGAAAGGCCGCCATGAAGAAACAGCTGAATCTTGAGAGGCAGACATGACACAGAGGATGGGGCTGAAGGGCCACTGCGAGGCAAACGCGAGGCCTGCCCAAATGGCTGAAAAACAGGTAGTAACAGGGCCAGAAAAGGCCCGTATAGGGAACAGCTGGGCCGAAGAGGCTGTGGCCGGGCAGGAGCTGGGTCTGTGCAGGCCACCAGGAGGCCGAAGGAAGGCCTTGAAAGCCCGACTTGAAAAAGACTAAAGTCTACAGAGGCTGCTGGGAGCTGGGA